GTGTTGTCCCGCCTTTGCGGTGTTTTTATTATCAAGTTTTATGCAATGTTATATAATATTTAGCAGATGTACGTCTTTCTGAACATTTTGTCTCCTGAACGGTTTCTTAAGTTTGCACGAGTCTACGATTCCGGATACACACGATGACAATTCGTTGAAAATATCGCGCGATCAATCTTTAATTAAAGAAAAAGTGAAGTTATGCTAGACATTTTAATTCGATTTGAAGTTAGAGAATGAAGCGGATATATATTTAATGAAGACTATAAATTATATTGACACATAATTAAACATATGACATGATGTATGCAAATCGACACATATGACATGCGCTTTTTTACAAAAGCATCCTCTAGTTTACGATTCTTTTTCGTGTTCTTCAGGTATTGATTTATGTTTGAACAATCCGTGCCAGAATGGAGCAACTTGTAACAACGTACAGAATGAGTATACGTGTACATGTGCCGGAGGTTGGCAAGGAACAAATTGCGACATCGGTAAATATTTTGACGTATATTAACGTTGTTTTGCTAAAAGAACAATATATCTTTAGTATTACTATTTTGAAAAATAACGAAAGCCATTAGACAATAATTATAAATGCGATCCGTTATCCACATACTTTTAAAAAGGGTACACTTTACTACTATGTCCGATATTCAATTATTCTGAAGAGCCGGAAAAATATAACAACGAAGTAAAATAACGAAAAAAACAACATGTTTTTAAAAGAGTAGACACTGTTGGAATACTAATTGCAATTAAATTACTTCGTTCATTAATGACTGACAAAAAACTTAACTATTAATCTTTAATTATTTAAATGTGTATAAATGTCTGAGTGTCTGGTCTGGTTGAGCAGTTGTCTGGCCATAAGCCCAAGACCCGTGGCTTTCGGTAAAGGGATACTCGGGAAACTGAATGTCAGAAATATCAAAATTATTTTATGTACTCCTATCACGCAAAAAGTCCCAGCAAGAATTTCTGTATGAATTATATACATATTGGGTTTGGAGCGTAAATATATTTTAATATGTTGAATTAAATACATACGCCGACAGAATCACCTAGTATCATCTTTAATACTAGTCAAGTGACTTGAACAAACCGTTGACGTTACAATAATATATATTATAGGTATTGTATCTTTATCATTTATTTGACATGTTAAACGTTTCTAGAGTTCCCTGTGGTAACAAGTGTGAACTGTTAACGCTCTAACCTGACCCGCTTAGGTCAAGTTAAGAAACCACCTTTAATTTCTTTTTAAGGAGAAATGTTTTGTTCTTATGTCTGTCTAGTGTATTCATTCTGAAGTTATAAATGTAAGAAACACGGAATAGTTGTACGCCCGGGAAGACTTTCGCGAATATTGTTATGCACCTGGCAATCCGTTCGTCCACCAGTCAGTACGTCTCTTATCAATGTGCCAGTCACTTTTAAAGATATTGTATGTTGTAATGAAGAATGTAACAACACTTAAGTGAAATTTGATATATGTATATAATTATTCTTCTAAAACAATTTCAAAACATCCAAGAAGATGTTAAATATCTACTGCAAATGTTTTGTCGCATTATAAGTCATTTTTAAAATATATTGATTCATTTCCTATTGAAAAATTTGGCTTAGACTTTATCGAAATCAAATTTCTAATAACCTCCCTTTATTAACATGAAAAGTTCGGTAATATGTTTACAAATAATATTTTTTTTAACTTACAATATTGATAAATCTCTCTTTAAGCATCATATTTATGATATACACAATAAAAATTAAGTGACAGGATCTTTAATCTTTCGAACCTATGGAAGCAGATTGAAACCACTTTTCAGAAACTTCTAACTAAAATGAAGCGATGTGCAGAGTGCACGTTTGATCCTCCTCAGGTCAAGGTCAAAGAGCATTAATGTATTAGTGACATTTTCATATTTGGAAGGAACATGCCTAGGTCCAGTGTTGGGAGTCACTATGTCAAGGTCACCTGTGCTGAAATAAATAGTTATACTGTTTCTTATACAACATTTTTACGTCAATAACTGAGTGAATTGGTAAAGCTTTTTTCGAAAAAGTGTTACTGACAAGAATCTGGAACTAGAACATTTGTGTTTAACAGGTTTCTTTTTTCATGCACCCAGGCATATAGTAATTGAACCATTTGTCAATTAGTCCGTGCGAAGTTAACCTAAAACGGCAAGTTGGGTTTTTTTTAAAGTTCTACCTGTACCAATATCATTATAATTTACACACTTAATAACACAAAGTACATTATCTAGGCAAGTTACATAACTATGGCTTCCATTTGTTTCAAGTTATTGCCTTTTTTCAGCACATTTAAAATGGATATGGATAACTTTAACCGACAAGTCGGATATATCTTAAGTTCCATCTATACTAATTGCTTCATCTTTTCCACACGTATCAATTCAAAGTACAGGATATTGACAAGTAATATGACTGTGCCATCCATTTTCTCTAGTTATTTTCCTTTTGATAACTTTGAAAATAGGACCTTGTAGAATATCCTATTCCTGAAAATTGGATTTATCTGAAATTCTTCCGAATAACTTCATTTATCTAATGATATCTTCCATATTAAGTAGGTGGTTACTTTCAATGGTCCTCTAATATTTTTATGCTCCCCAAAGGGTGAGCATATAATCGCCGCTTTGTCCGTCCGTCTGTCCGGGCTCTATGAGCTTTATTCCAACCGGTTTATGTGGTAATTGTTACTGGTTTATGGGGATAAGCTCCACATAAAGATAAAAAAAATCACACGAACCCCAAATGTTGGAACTTTCGTCCGTCCGTCCGTCCGTCCCCTATTCTTGTCCGGGACATAAGGACATAACTTTTAAACTATAAGAGATATCAGCATTAAACTTTGTAGGTAGAATGATCTCATAACGTAGATGTGCAGGGCATAAGAACCTTAACTCTGCCTTATACTATACTGTTATTACTACCACTGTAGATTATATAACGTTGCTGGGTCGTATGGGGGCTGCGTTCATTGAACGCCGCTTTTCCTTGTTGATCTTGTTTATCATGTTTTTTGCCTAAATTTTGCTCTTTGATTTTTTACACTTTGAACTTTGTTGGGACATAACTATGAGAGATATCAACAAGAAACTTTGTAGCTAGGCAGATCTTATTGTGTAGAAGTGCAGTGCTAAAAAAACATAACTCTGTCATGCCTTATTTTGGAGTTATTGCCATTTGTTCAATTTCACACGTTGAACTTTGTCCGGGACATAATTCTAAAACTATAAGAAATATCAACATGAAACGTTGTAAGTACATAGATCTCATTGTGTAGAAATGCAGTGCTAAATATCCATTTCTCTGTCTTGCTTAATTTTGGAGTTATTGCCCTTTATTCATTTTTTATTCTTTGAACATTGTCCGGAACATTCTCTAATGCTATAAGAGTTATAAACAAAAAACTTGTAGGTAGATAGATCTCATTGTGTAGAAGTGCAGTGCTAAAAACCATAACTTTGTCATGTCTTTTTTTTTTTTGGAGTTATTGCCATTTGTTCAATTTCACACGTTGAACTTTGTCCGGGACATAATTCTAAAACTATAAGAGATATCAACATGAAACGTTGTAAGTAGATAGATCTCAGTGTGTAGAAATGTAGTGCTAAATATCCATTTCTCTGTCTTGCTTAATTTTGGAGTATTTGCCCTTTATTCATTTTTATACTTTGAACATTGTCCGGAACATTCTCTAAAACTATAAGAGATATCAACATGAAACTTTGTAGGTAGATATAGGTTTATACTTTATACTTTCTGTGTCCAAAACCTTCTCGGGGAGCAACACTCGGTTTAACCGATTCTTGTTAAAGGAAGGAGTCACATGGGTTAAGGTTAAGTTCACTTGTGTTAAAAAATTGCTCATACATGACTCATACTGCTTTTTAAAATTGATGCGTTTTTTCAATACTGGCATGTCTAGGGAGGTCCTCCTCCTTTGGGTTTAGCTATGGGCCATTTTGTTTGTACAGCCTTCATTTTTGTCTGATTTTTTCATATATGTAGATTATAACTTGCGTAGTCTCCTTCTTTTGGATCAAGTTAGGGTTCAGTTGGATCAAGGTTTCCAGTGCTAAAAATAAATTTTAACACTTTTGCCAAGAAAGCCTTTATGTATGGAAATATGTCGATTATATCATGTAGGAAGATATTTTGCATGGTATTCTTCCTTTGGCTTGAGTTGTCTGTTTGTCAAGGTCAAGAGTGCTCTTAATAGATGTCCACACATTTGCTAATACAGTCTCTTTTTTGACTGAATTTCTTATTTATAGGATGATAGCTTGCATAATCTTTTTACTTTGGATTACGTTATGGTTCAGTTTGGTCAAGGTCACCAGTGATTTAAATAAATTTTTACACTTCTGCCCACACAGCCTTTATGTATGGATATATGTCTTTCATATTTGGTAGAAAGATATCTTCCATGGTTTCCTTCCAATTGAACGAGTTAGGGGTTAGGGGGTAAAGGTCTGAGGAGCCAAAATATTTTTTAAACTTTTGCTTATACAGCCTATACTTTAAGACTGATGTTTTTCATATTTGGAGGGACCATATCTTGGATTGTCTAGTGTTGGGAGTCACAAGCCAAGGTCACTTGTGCCAGATTTTTACACTCTTTCATATACAGCCCTTTTAATATTTTACCAATGTCTCATAATTAGAAGAACATAACTGAGGTCGTCATTTAAGTTTGTGTTCAGTTAGAGGCAACTGGGTTAGGTTAAAGCTCACAATCTTGTATTGATATACATTTGATATTTTTGTATGGATAAGTTGAATATTTTAACTTCATCCGGTAGCAACAACATGCCAACCTATGTTTTTCATAATAAAAACGTCTTAACTCCGTCAAGCTATTTATGTACCTGTATTATAATTGTAAAACATTATAACTGAAAAGAATCTTGGCCGGGGCATTTGTGTTTCCCGAACACGTTCTTTTCTCTGTTTTGTTTCAGATATTGATGAATGCGCGAGTAATCCGTGCAAAAATGGCGGCACATGTACAAATAACCAGAATCAATTCACGTGTGCATGTATGACTGGATGGACGGGCGAAGATTGCAATATAGGTAACATGTTTTCTTATTATTGAGCATATTTGAAAAACAACTTGGGGCAATACTATTTTTCAGAAGTAAAAATGTGTCAAGGCACACTCGTTTATATTATTTTCTTTATTCCACGAATAAATATAAACATGTGATGTGTGAAAAGTAATCTTTTCATATTTTTTTCTTAATATCAATAAAATATAAACCGGTGATCTGTAATACATTTCCTGTAATCTAACATGGAGTAAATAGGCCCTTCCACGGCGTCACTTTGTTTATATAGACATAAACAGAGGAAAACAATAAGCTTGAATTTGTCAATGTTATATTTTTAGAGGTTAGATATTTGACTTGTAGCACTGTCCTTTTGACCTCCAAAAACCTGATATTAAACACAAAGGCACGAGTAGCGGACCTCGGAAGAAAATATCATCACATTGATAAAAAACTTCTGTATTCAGTTAAAATGTGTCAAAAAACCCCAAAAAAGTGAAATATGATTCCCCTTAAAAATATACATATACTATAAGTTAAGAAAAGGCCGGAAACTCCAGATTAGTCTACGTGCAAGATGTTCAATTCTCGGGACATTGTAAAATCAATTGTCCAGTTAATTAACAAAACACTTTTAATATTATTTCACGTTTGTATTAGGCTTTCTAATGAGACCAACCCCAAGTCTCTAGCCCTTCCCGTTCATAAAATATTAATCAGCAAACGTGCTAAAATTGCCAAGAAGACAAAAATGTGGCACAACGATTCGGTTCGTAAACATAGACTAATACATGTTTGTCAGCCGAGTACTGGTCAAAATCTCATGAATTTACTAAATTATCTTACTAAATACATTAAATGGGACCGCTCACAACCGTCAGTAGCATCTGATAAACGCGAACTTCGAGTTAGTTTCAAACCTCTACTAGGTTTCTACAATGTCAAGAGCTTCTGTGTTTGACATGTAATAAAACTTAGTTGACCTGGGGCATTTTTGTTTACCGAACACGTTCTTTTTTATCTAGATATTGATGAATGCGCGAGCAGTCCGTGCAAAAATGGTGGCACATGTACAAATAACCAGAATCAATTCACGTGTGCATGTATGGCTGGATGGACGGGCGAAGATTGCGATACAGGTAACATGTTTTCCTATTATTATCCCCCGCCGAAAAGGCGGCGGGGGATATAGAAATAGTCTCCGTCCGTCCGTCCGTCCGACCTTCCGTCCATCCGTCCGACATTTTTGTCTGAGCATATCTCTAAAAGTATTTGAGTTATCAACTTGAAACTTCATAGGTGGATAGACCTCATTGAGGAGGAGTGCAGTGCACTTGAATGATAACTCTACCTTGCATGATTTTTGAGTTATTGCCCTTTGTTATTTTTCAAAATTGATTATTGTCCAGAGCATAACTCCAGAAGCCTATGAGATATCAACATGAAACTTCATAGGTGCATAGATCTCACTCAGGAGGTGTGCAGTGCTCTACCTTTCATAATTTTTGAGTTATTGCCCTTTGTTATTTTTCATACTTAATTTTTCACCTGAGTGGAGCATAACTCAAAAAGTGTTTGAGATATCAACATGAAATGTCATAGGTGGATAGATCTTATTGAGGAGGAATGTTGTGCGCAAGAATGATAACTCTTCCCTATACATTTTTTGAGTTATTGCCCTTTGTTCTTTTTCATGCTATTTTGTCCAGAGCTTATTATCCCCCGCCGAAAATTTTCGGCGGAGGATATAGAAATAGTCTCCGTTCGTCCGACCTTCCGTCCTTCCGTCCGTCCGTCCTTCCGTCCGACATTTTTGTCCGGAGCATATCTCTAAAAGTATTTGAGTTATCAACTTGAAACTTCATAGGTGGATAGACCTCATTGAGGAGGAGTGCAGTGCACTAGAATGATAACTCTACCTTGCATGATTTTTGAGTTATTGCCCTTTGTTATTTTTCAAAATTGATTTTTGTCCAGAGCATAACTCCAAAAGCCTATGAGATATTAACATGAAACTTCATAGGTGCATAGATCTCACTCAGGAGGTGTGCAGTGCACAAGAATGATAACTCTACCTTTCATAATTTTTGAGTTATTGCCCTTTGTTATTTTTCATACCTAATTTTTCACCTGAGTGGAGCATAACTCAAAAAGTGTTTGAGATATCAACATGAAATGTCATAGGTGGATAGATCTTATTGAGGAGGAATGTTGTGCGCAAGAATGATAACTCTTCCCTATACATTTTTTGAGTTGTTGCCCTTTTTTTCATACTTAATTTTTCAATTCAATTTTTTTCTCAAAAAGTATTTGAGGTATCAACTTGAAACTTCATAGGTGGATAGATTTTACTGAGGAGGGATGCAGCACACAAGAATGATAACCTACCCTGCATTAATTTTCAGTAATTGCCCTTTGTTATTTTCAGCCATCAGTATACACATAGGTTTCAAATCTGTAACCACTATAGCCATCAGTTTTCATTACCAAAAGACCTCTTAAAATGGAATTATTCCGCTCTACATATACATTCTTCCAATGAGCAAACACATTCGGCGGGGGATGGCCATGTTGACATGGCTTTTGTCTCAAAAAGTATCTGAGGTATCAACTTGAAACTTCAAAGGTGGATGGATCTCATTGAGGAGGAGTGCAGTGCTTAAGAATGATAACTCCACCCTGCATTATTTTTGAGTTATTGCCCTTTGTTATTTTTCAAAATTAATTTTTGTCCAGAGCATAACTCAAAAAGCCTTTGAGATATCAAAATGAAACTTTATAGGTGCATATATCTCACTCAGGAGGTGTGCACTGCATAAGAATAATAACTCTACCTTTCATAATTTTTGAGTTATTGCCCTTTGTTATTTTTCATACATAATTTTTCACCCGAGTGGAGCATAACTCAAAAGTGTTTGAGATGTCAACATGAAATGTCATAGGTGGATAGATTTTATTGAGGAGGAATGCTGTGCAAAAGAATGATAACTCTTCCCTGTACATTTTTTTAGTTATTGCCCTTTGTTCTTTTTCAAACTATTTTGTCCAGAGCTTATTTCAAAAAGTATTTGAGGTATCAACTTGAAACTTCATAGGTGGATGGATCTCATTGAGGAGGAGTGCAGTGCACAAGAACAATAACTCTACCCTGCATTATTGTTTAGTTATTGTCCTTTATTTTATTTTTTAAAATTAATTTTTGTCCAGAGCATAACTCAAAAGGCCTTTGAGATATCATTATGAAACTTCATAGGTGCATTGCTCTAACTCAGGAGGTGTGCAGTGCACAAGAATGATAACTCTACCTTTTTTGATTTTTGAGTTATTGCCTTTTCTTATTTTTCATACTTAATTTTTCAATTCAATTTTTTTCTCAAAAAGAATTTGAGGTATCAACTTGAAACTTCATAGGTGGATAGATTTTACTTAGGAGGGATGCAGCACACAATAATGATAACCTACCCTGCATTATTTTTCAGTTATTGCCCTTTGTTATTTTTCACATAGGTTTCAAATCTGTAATCACTATAGCCATCAGTTTTCATTACCAAAAGACCTCTTAAAATGGAATTATTCTGCTCTACTACATATACATTCTTCCAATGAGCAAACACATTCGGCGGGGGATGGCCATGTTGACATGGCTCTTGTTGAATATATTTTAAAAACAACTTTGAACAATACTATTTTTCAGAAGTAAAAATGTTTCAAGGCACATTCGTTTATATTATTTTCTTTATTTCACGTATAAATATAAACATGTGATGTGTGATACAATAATCATTTCATATTCTTTTCTTAATATAAATAAAATATAAACCAGTGATCTGTGATACATTTCCTGTAATCTAACATGGAGTAAAATGGCCCTTCCACGGGGGTCACTTTGTTTATCTATGTATTAATTATATACATGTTCTATCAGATATGAGAAGGCCAGAAAATTAGCTGACCTCTTCAAACGTCCAAAAGTCATGACTCTGTGGTTAAAATTTGCCCCATACTGAGATCACTTTGTTTTTTTTACAATTATATAATAAACATATCTTGATTTTTTTACTCCTACAGTTCAAAGAGTTCAAAGATATTTGCCATGTAGCATCATTTTGAAGTTTTCTACAAATGTCATATCGCCCTCGAGCATGAGGTCAAACTTAAAGCTGCCCTGGTTGACACATCCTATAAAAATCATTTCTAATCTCGTGTGTAGTAAAGTACATATATTTGGCATATAGCGTTACCTAGTCGACCTTTACCAATTGTTTACGAATCATGCACTCCGGTCATAGTTGCTCTTGGGTATATAAGGACAATGAACACATAACATATGCGTCCCCTTAGGCTTGTCCTGAGCCTGACTCAGTCACTATAAGTTGAATTGACTCCAAACTTGTATGCACGCTTCTTTCAATGATCTGTAGTGCAGTGCAAAAGAATCATAGTGCAGTGCAAAAGAATCGTTACTCTGCGCTTTTTAGATTTTTAGTTTTTGCCCTTTATTAATGTTCATACTTTATTTTTGTCTGCGCCATTTCTCATAAACTCTAAGTTATGGACTTGAAACTTCATCGGATAATATATCTTAGTAAAGAGAAGTGCGGTACACTAGAACCGATACTCTGCACTTGTTTTGTTTTAAGTAATTGCCCTTTGTTAATTTTCATACTTTATTTTTGTCTGGTCCTGTTCTTCTAAACTATAGATGCTATTGACTTGAAACTTCATAAGATGATAAATGTCATTTAGATAAAGTGCAATGTTAAAAAGTCGGTAATGTAAACTTGATGGTTTTTTAGTTATTGCCCTTTGTTAATTTTCTTACTTTATTTTTGTCCGGGCCAATTCTCCAAAATTGAAACTTCATAGGATGATAGATCTTATTAAGAAAAAGTGCAATGCACAAAATCTGATATTTTGCACTTCTTTTTATATCTCACCTGACCAAGACGTGGTCACGTTGTGGTATAGTGAAGTGGCTATGTCCGGCGTCCGTTGTCATGCCTCGTTCGTTATCAACATTTGAATTGTTAACACTCTAGCAGTCAAAAAAATTGATTGGAAAGGTTTCTTTAATGATTTCTAAGTGAAGTTAGAATAAGGCTCATCTCCGCTCAAAATTAGGTCACAGGGGCTAAAAATAGAATAATCTGGTTAACACTCTAGTGGCTGAAGTTTTTATCCAAATATTCTGGAAATTAATTAGAAAGGTTGTTTTGATGATTTCTAGTTCGAATATGGGTTATATCCCATCAAAAACTAGGTCACATGATCTAAAAATAGAAACATCTCTTTCACACTAGTGGCTGCAGATTTGATCTAAATATCCTGGAAATTGATCAGGAAGGTTGTCTGGATGATTTCAAAGTCAAGTTCGAATATCGGTTGTCTCGGGTTGAAAAATAAGTCACAGAAGCTAAAAAAGAGAAATCTTGTTAACTATTTACAAGGCCACACATCTGACTCGCGGAGTTTTAGTTCCAAATAAGTTCCCCTTTCAACGCTTGAAAACTCTACTTCCTTTGGATGCAGTAAGGGACCAGTTGGGTCAAGGTCAACAGTGCTAAAACAGATTTTGCTGATGATGCCTTTATTTAATTACAGATGCTTTCATATTTAGTAGAGAGATAACTTGCATTGTCTTCTTCCTTTGGATTACAGCATTTTATATGGCCATAACTGGGTAAATTTATAAAACTTTTTTGAAATATTTTACCGACAACAATCTTGACCTTGGGCATTTCTGTTTACCGAACACGTTCTTCTTTTATCTAGATATTGATGAATGCGCGAGCAGTCCGTGCAAACATGGTGGCACATGTAAAAATAACCAGAATCAGTTCACACATGTTTTCCTATTATTGAACATATTTGAAAAACAACTTTGAACAATACTATTTTTCAGAAGTAGAAAGGTTTCATGGCACACTCGTTTATATTATTTTCTTTATTTCACGAATAAATATAAACATGTGATGTGTGATACAGTAATCATTTCTAATCTTTTCTAAATATCAATAAAATATAAACCAGTGATCTGTGATACATTTCCCGTTATCTAACATACAGTAAATGTGGCCCTTCCACGGGGGTCACTTTGTTTATATAGACACAAACAGGGGAAAACAATAAGCTTGAATTTGTCAATATAATATTTTTAGAGGTTAGATATTTGACTTGTAGCACTGTCCTTTTGACCTCCAAAAACCTGATATTAAACACAAAGGCACGAGTAGCGGACCTCGGAAGACAATATCATCACATTGATAAAAAACTTCTGTATTCAGTTAAAATGTGTCAAAAACTCCCAAAAGGTGAAATATGAGTCCCCTTCAAAATATACATATACTATAAGTTAAGAGAAGGCCGGAAACTCCAGATTAGTCTACGGGCAAGGTGTTCAATAATCGGGACATTGTGAAAGCAATTGTCCAGATAATTAACAAAACACTTTTGCCAAGAAGACAAAAAAGTGGCACAACGATTCGGTACGTAAACATAGACTATTACATGTTTGCCAGCCAAGTACTGGTCAAAATCTCTTGAATTTACTAAATTATCTTACTAAATACATTAAATGGAACCACTCACAACCGTCAGTAGCATCTGATACACGCGAACTTCGAGTTAGTTTCAAACCTCTACTAGGTTTCTACAATGTCAAGAGCTTCTGTGTTTGACATGTAATAAAACTTAGTTGATCTGGGGCATTTTTGTTTACCGAACACGTTCTTTTTTATCTAGATATTGATGAATGCGCGAGCAGTCCGTGCAAAAATGGTGGCACATGTACACATAACCAGAATCAATTCACGTGTGCATGTATGGCTGGATGGACGGGCGAAGATTGCAATACAGGTAACATGTTTTCCTATTATTGAATATATTTTAAAAACAACTTTGAACAATACTATTTTTCAGAAGTTAAAATGTTTCAAGGCACACTCGTTTATATTATTTTCTTTATTTCACGAATAAATATAAACATGTGATGTGTGATACAATAATCATTTCATATTCTTTTCTTAATATCAATAAAATATAAATCGGTGATCTGTGATACATTTCCTGTAATCTAACATGGAGTAAAATGGCCCATCCACGGGGGTCACTTTGTTTATTGTGCATCCACTTTAGTGGCGGGCATTTAGATTTACCCTTGTCCGTCCGTCCGTCCTTCCGTCCGTCCGTCCGTTCACTTTTGTGTCGCACGTAACTCAAAAAGTATTTGACCTAGAGCCATGAAACTTTACAGGAATGTTGATCAGCATGTGTAGTTGTGTACCTGGGTATTTTCGTCTGGATATTTTTAGTATTTTTAGAGTTATTGCCCTTGACTTAGTAACATTTTGCAATTTTCAACTTGTGTCGCACGTAACTCAAAAAGTGTTTGACCTAGAGTCATGAAACTTTACAGGAATGTTGATCAGCATGTGTAGTTGTGCACTTGGGTATTTTCGTCTGGATATTTATAGTATTTTTTGAGTTATTGCCCTTGACTTTGTACAATTTTGCAATTTTCAACTTGTGTTGCACGTAACTCAAAAAGTATTTGACCTAGAGTCATGAAACTTTTCAGGAATGTTTATCAGCATGTGTTGTTGTGCACCAGGTATTTTCGTCTGGATTTATTTAGTATTTTAGAGTTATTGCCCTTGATATAGAAATGTTTTGCAATTTTCAACTTGTGTCGCAAGTTACTCAAAAACGATTTGACATAGAGTCATTAAACCTTATGGGCAGGTTGCTCAGCATATTTAGATTTGCACCTTGGGTTTCGCTTGTGGATTTATCCAATATTTGTAGAGTTATTTCCGTTGACTTAGTAAAAAGATTGACAGAACAGTGGCGCGGTGGGGGCACCCGTGTCCTATGGACATATTTCTAGTATATGTATTATATACATGTTCTATCAGATAAGAGAAGGCCAGAAAATTAGCTGACCTCTTCAAACGTCCAATAAGTCATGATTCTGTGGTTAAAATTTGCCCCACACTGAGATCACTTTGTTTTTTACTATTTTATAATGAACATATCTTGAATTTTTTTTACTCCTACAGTTCAAAGAGTTCAAAGATATTTGGCATGTAGCATCATTTTGAAGTTTTCTACAAATGTCATATTAACCTCGAGCATGAGGTCAAACTTAAAGCTGCCCTGGTTGCCACATCCTATAAAAATCATTTCTAATCTCGTGTGTAGTAAAGTACATATATTTGGCATATAGAGTTGCCTAGTCGACCTTTACCAATTGTTGACGAATCATATCATGCACTCCGGTCATAGTTGCTCTTGGGTATATAAGGACAATGAACACATAACATATGCGTCCACTTAGGCTTGTCCTGAGCCTGACTCAGTCACTATAAGTTGAATTGACTCCAAACTTTTATGCACGCTTCTTTCAATGATCTGTAGTGCAGTGCAAAAGAATCATAGTGCAGTGCAAAAGAATCGTTACTCTGCGCTTCTTAGATTTTTAGTTTTTGCCCTTTATTAATTTTCATACTTTATTTATGTCTGCGCCATTTCTCATAAACTCTAAGTTATGGACTTGAAACTTCATCGGATAATATATCTTAGTAAAGAGAAGTGCGGTACACTAGAACCGATACTTTGCACTTGTTTCGTTTTAAGTTATTGCCCTTTGTTAATTTTCATACTTTATTTTTGTCTGGTCCTGTTCTTCTAAACTATAGATGCTATTGACATGAAACTTCATAAGATGATAAATGTCATTAAGATAAAGTGCAATGTTAAAAAGTCGGTAATGTAAAATTGATGGTTTTTTAGTTATTGCCCTTTGATAATTTTCTTACTTTATTTTTGTCCGGGCCAATTCTCCAAAATTGAAACTTCATAGGATGATAGATCTTATTAAGAAAAAGTGCAATGCACAAAACCTGATATTTTGCACTTCTTATTTTATCTCACCTGACCAAGAAGTGGTCAAGTTGTAGTATAGTGAAGTGGCTATGTCCGGCGTCCGTTGTCATGCCTCGTTCGTTATCAACATTTGAGTTGTTAACACTTTAGCAGTCAGTTTTGATTGGATCATAATCAACCTTTGTCACAATGTTTGAAAAAATGAAATACAGGTCAAGTTTGAATATGGATTTTCTCGGGTCAAAAGCTAGGTCACAGAAGCTAAAAATAGAAAAATATTGTTAATACTCTAGACGCTGCAGTTCTGATCTAAATATCCTGAAAATTGATCAGAAAGGTTTCTTTAATGATTTCTATGTGAAGTTAGAATAAGGCTCATCTCCGCTCAAAATTAGGTCACAGGGGCTAAAAATAGAATAATCTGGTTAACACTCTAGTGGCTGAAGTTGTTATCCAAATATTCTGGAAATTGATTAGAAAGGTTGTTTTGATGATTTCTAGTTCGAATATGGGTTATCTCCCATCAAAAACTAGGTCACAGGATCTAAAAATAGAAACATTTTTTTAACACACTAGTGGCTGCAGATTTGATCTATATATCCTGGAAATTGATCAGGAAGGTTGTCTGGATGATTTCAAAGTCAAGTTCGAATATCGGTTGTCTCGGGTTGAAAAATAAGTCACAGAAGCTAAAATAGAGAAATCTTGTTAACTATTCACAAGGCCACACATCTGACTCGCGGAGTTTTAGTTCAAAATAAGTTCCCCTTTCAACGCTTGAAAACTCTACTTCCTCTGGATGCAGTAAGGGACCAGTTGGGTCAAGGTCAACAGTGCTCAAACAGATTTTGCTGATGCAGCCTTTATTTAATTACAGATGCTTTCATATTTAGTAGAGAGATAACTTGCATTGTCTTCTTCCTTTGGATTACAACATTTTATATGGCCATAACTGGGTTAATTGATAAAACTTTTTTGAAACATTTTACCGACAACAATCTTGACCTTGGGCATTTCTGTTTACCGAACACGTTCTTCTTTTATCTAGATATTGATGAATGCGCGAGCAGTCCGTGCAAACATGGTGGCACATGTACAAATAACCAGAATCAGTTCACATGTGCATGTATGGCTGGATGGACGGGCAAAGATTGCAATATAGGTAACATGTTTTCCTATTATTGATCATATTTAAAAAACAACTTTGAACAATACTTTTTTTCAGAAGTAGAAAGGTTTCATGGCACACTCGTTTATATTATTTTCTTCATTTCAGGAATAAATATAAACATGCGATGTGTGATACAGTAATCAATTCATTTTCTTTTCTAAATATCAATAGAATATAAAGCGGTAATCTGTGATACATTTCCCGTAATCTAACATGGAGTAAATGTGGCCCTTCCACGGGGTTCACTTTGTTTATATAGACATAAACAGAGGAAAACAATAAGCTTGAATTTGTCAATGTAATATTTTTAGAGGTTATATAGATATTTGACTTTTAGCACTGTCCTTTTGATCTCCAAAAACCTGATATTAAACACAAAGGCACGAGTAGCGGACCTCGGAAGACAATATCATCACATTGATAAATAACTTCTGTATTCAGTTAAAATGTGTCAAAAACCCCAAAAAAGGGAAATATGAGTCCCCTTAAAATATACATATACTATAAGTTAAGAGAAGGCCGGAAACTCCAGATTAGTCTACGGGCAAGGTGTTCCATTCTCGGGACATTGTGAAAGCAATTGTCCAGATAATTAACAAAACACTTTAATCATTATTTCACGTTTGTATTAGGCTTTCAAATGAGACCAACCCCAAGTCTCTAGCCCTTCCCGTTCATAAAATATTAATCAGCAAACGTGCTAAAATTGCCAAGAAGACAAAAAAGTGGCACAACGATTCGGTACGTAAAAATAGACTAATACATGTTTGTCAGCCAAGTACTGGTCAAAATCTCTTGAATTTAGTAAATTATCTTACTAAATACATTAAATGGGACCACTCACAACCGTCAGTAGCATCTGATACACGCACAATTCGAGTTAGTTTCAAACCTCTACTAGGTTTCTACAATGTCAAGAGCTTCTGTGTTTGACATGTAATATAACTTAGTTGACCTGGGGCATTTTTGTTTACCGAACACGTTCTTTTTTATCTAGATATTGATGAATGCGCGAGCAGTCCGTGCAAAAATGGTGGCACATGTACAAATAACCAGAATCAATTCACGTGTGCATGTATGGCTGGATGGACGGGCGAAGATTGCAATACAGGTAACATGTTTTCTTATTATTGAATATATTTTAAAAACAACTTTGAACAATACTATTTTTCAGAAGGAAAAATGTTTCAAGACACACTCGTTTATATTATTAACTTTATTTCACGAATAAATATAAACATGTGATGTGTGATACAATAATCATTTCATATTCTTTTCTTAATATCAATAAAATATAAACCGGTGATCTGTGATACATTTCCTGTAATCTAACATGGAGTAAAATGGCCCTTCCACGGGGGTCACTTTGTTTATCTATGTATTAATTATATACATGTTCTATCAGATATGAGAAGGCCAGAAAATTAGCTGACCTCTTCAAACGTCCAGTAAGTTATGACTCTGTGGTTAAAATTTGCCCCACACTGAGATCACTTTGTTTTTTTTACAATTATTATATAATAAACATATCTTGAAATGTTTTTACTCGAGTTCAAAGATATTTGGCATGTAGCATCATTTTGAAGTTTTCTACAAATGTCATATCAACCTCGAGCATGAGGTCAAACTTAAAGCTGCCCTGGTTGCCACATCCTATAAAAATCATTTCTAATCTCGTGTGTAGTAAAGTACATATATTTGGCATATAGCGTTGCCTAGTCGACCTTTACCAATTGTTTACGAATCATGCGCTCGGGTCATAGTTGCTCTTGTGTATATAAGGACAATGAACATATAACATATGCATCCCCTTAGGCTTGTCCTGAGCCTGACTCAGTCACTATAAGTTGAATTGACTCCAAACTTTTATGCACGCTTCTTTCAATGATCTGTAGTGCAGTGCAAAAGAATCATAGTGCAGTGCAAAAGAATCGTTACTCTGCGCTTCTTAGATTTTTAGTTTTTGCCCTTTATTAATTTTCATACTTTATTTTTGTCTGCGCCATTTCTCATAAACTCTAAAATATGATAAACAAGATCGACAAGGAAAGGCGGCGTTCAATGAACTAAGTTATGGACTTGAAACTTCATCGGATAATATATCTTAGTAATACACTAGAACCGATACTCTGCACTTGTTTTGTTTTAAGTTATTGCCCTTTGTTAATTTTCATACTTTATTTTTGTCTGGTCCTTTTCTTCTAAACTATAGAAGCTATTGACTTGAAACTTCATAAGATGATAAATGCCATTAAGATAAAGTGCAATGTTAAAAGCCGGTAAGGTAAACTTGATGTTTTTTTAGTTATTGCTCTTTGTTAATTTTCTTACTTTATTTTTGTCCGGGCCAATTCTCCAAAATTGAAACTTCATAGGATGATAGATCTTATTAAGAAAAAGTGCAATGCACAAAACCTGGTATTTTGCACTTCTTATTCTATCTCACCTGACCAAGAAGTGGTCAAGTTGTGGTATAGTGAAGGGGCTATATCCGGCGTCCGTTGTCATGCCTCGTTCGTCATCAACATTTGAGTTGTAAACACTCTAGCAGTCAGTTTTGATTGGATCATAATCAACCTTTGTCACAATGTTTGAAAAAATGAAATACAGGTCAAGTTTGAATATAGATTTTCTCGGGTCAAAAACTAGGTCAAAGAAGCTAAAAATAGAAAAATCTTGTTAATACTCTAGACGCTGCAGTTCTGATCTAAATATCCTGAAAATTGATCAGAAAGGTTTCTTAAATGATATCTAAGTGGAACTAGAATAAGGCTCATCTCCGCTCAAAATTAGGTCACAGGGGCTAAAAGTAAAATAATCTGGTTAACACTCTAGTGGCTGAAGTTTTTATCCAAATATTCTGGAAATTGATTAGAAAGGTTGTTTTGATGATTTCTAGTTCGAATATGGGTAATCTTCCATCAAAAACTAGGTCACAGGATCTAAAAATAGAAACATCTTTTTAACACACTAGTGGCTGCAGATTTGATCTAAATATCCTGGAAATTGATCAGGAAGGTTGTCTGGATGATTTCAAAGTCAAGTTCGAATATCGGTTGTCTCGGGTTGAAAAATAAGTCACAGAAGCTAATATAGAGAAATCTTGTTAACTATTTACAAGGTCACACATCTGACTCGCGGAGTTTTAGTTCCAAATAAGTTGCCCTTTCAACGCTTGAAAACTCTACTTCCTTTGGATGCAGTAAGGGACCAGTTGGGTCAAGGTCAACAGTGCTCAAACAGATTTTGCTGATGAAGCCTTTATTTAATTACAGATGCTTTCATATTTAGTAGAGAGATAACTTGCATTGTCTTCTTCCTTTGGATTACAGCATTTTATATGGCCATAACTGGGTAAATTTATAAAACTTTTTTGAAATATTTTACCGACAACAATCTTGACCTTGGGTATTTATGTTTACCGAACACGTTCTTCTTTTATCTAGATATTGATGAATGCGCGAGCAGTCCGTGCAAACATGGTGGCACATGTACAAATAACCAGAATCAGTTCACATGTGCATGTATGGCTGGATGGACGGGCGAAGATTGCAATATAGGTAACATGTTTCCTTTATTGAACATATTTGAAAAACAACTTTTAACAATACTATTTTTCAGAAGTAGAAAGGATTAATGGCACACTTGTTTATATTATTTTCTTTATTTCACGAATAAATATAAACATGTGATGTGTTATACAGTAATCAATGACAATGACAATGACAATGACAATGACAAATAGTTTATTGATTCAAGGCCTCTAGCCCAAAACAACATAAACATAGCAATACAATTTCATACAATGGAATATAGTACATTATATCATTATGTTAAACAAAATCTTTTTATTATCTAGTGGTGTTTATCATATTTATTCATGTTCTAACACATAATAATCTTTTTCTTTCTTCAAAGGCATGGAACACAAACTTTGCCAAATTTTCTATAATATTTTCAGCCTGACAACTCATTAAGATATTAAATTTATGAATATTAGGATTAACAAAATATTTGCTTGGTGAGTATTTTGATCTTAAATTTTCATAAGCCGTACATACCATTACAAAATGATATTCTGTTTCTACTGAAACTTTACATAAATTACATATACGCTCAGATCTCTCTTCTTGTCTATATCTACCTCTTTCAATATTTAAATCATGTGATGAAGTACGTAATTTTGCAAGTGCATTTCTAAATTTACGAATTAAAACAACAGATAAATATGTCTCATGGATAAATTCAGATTTATACAAACGATATGAATCTAACTTTTTACTTTGATTTATTTTTTCTTGCCAGTTCTGCCTATATTGATCTCTCATTCTATCTGTAAATATTTTTAGGAACAATTTCTTATTATCAACTCCCTGATTATTCCAAACATATCCAAAACCATTTGTATAAAGTAGTTGTTTAATGTTAGTAGCCCAATTTTTCATTCCATTCCTATCATATATAAGTAACATATTATAACATTGTTTGACATATCGATCATTTGGTAAACTTAATATCTTTAACCAATATACTAAAACTCTTGATGCAGTAGTTATGTACAATGGATAACGGCCACAATCTCCTAAAACTGATGCATTTGCAGTTGATTGTTTAACACACATGTATCTTTTACATGCATAATTATGTACGGTTTCTATACTTTTATGTTCAATCGACCCCCATAATTCAGATCCATAGCATAATATTGGAACTATTTTAGTATCAAATATATTAAAATATACATGTTTTTTAAGCTGACCATATTTGTAAAGATTTGATAAAATAGAAATAAGAACTCTTTTTCCTTTAATGGCTTGTTCATCAGCCATTTGAAATATTGACATCTGTCTTGACATTGTTACACCAACATATGAAAATTTAGAAACAGTTTCCAATAGTTTACCATCATAATACCATTTCTCTTTATTAGAAAGTCTACCTCCCTTTTTAAATACTAATATCTTGGTTTTTTCAATATTCACCTCTAAGCCACTTTCATCACAAAAAAGTTTAAGTTTATTAAGCAATCTTTGTAAACCTACAACTGTTTCGTTTATAAGGGCTAAATCATCTGCAAAAAGTAGAGACAGAATTTCTGTATTTTCCGGAAATAACTGAACTCCTTTTATTTCACTATTTTTCAAATTTATGCTGAGTTCATTTATATAGATAATGAAAAGTGTTGGAGAAATCAAACAGCCTTGCTTAAGTCCATTGTCACAATAAAAATAGTTTGTCATACCTTCTGAAGTTCTAACACAAGATTTAACTGAATGATAAATAGATTTTATTGCCCTATATAATTTTCCTTCAATTCCATTTTTACACAGAACTTTCCAAAGCTTATCTCTATTAACCATATCAAAGGCTTTCTTAAAATCAATCATGCCTACATACAATTTACCACGATTTTTTTGTAACTGTTTACTTACAATAGATTGCAAAATAAAAGCATTGTCAACAGTAGAATACCCTTCCCTAAAACCTGCCTGTTCCTCATTGATAATTCCATAGACATTTACAAAAAAGTTAAGTCTTCTAGAGAGTATTCCAGTGTATATTTTTCCCAAAATGTTTGATAAAGATATTCCTCTATAATTATTTGGATTATTTCTATCACCTTTCTTATAAATTGTAACAATTACGGACTTTGTCCATGATTCTGGAAAAATACCTTTATTATAAATTTTGTTAAAATAGTTATACAAAATAGGTAATAATTTGTCAATTGAGAAAATAAAAAATTCAGGAATAGTACCATCTTCCCCACTACTAGACCCTTTTTTCAATGATTTAACAGTTTTCAAGATTTCTTCATATGAGATTTCTTCATTAAATATATCTTCCTTAATTTCATCAAGACTTTCAGAATCTAAACCTTCAACTACTTCTGTTATATCAATACATTCAATATCATTATTATTTGACTTAAACAATTCCTCAAAATGTTGTACCCAATTATCATTAGAAATAGAATTTGTAATTTGTTGTTTTTTCCCTGCCATTTTCTTAAATTTTTTCCAAAATGATTTAGAGTCTTTAACATTTTCCGTAAGTTCATCTAATTGTTTATTATAAAAATTTGTTTTACTTTTCTCACACTGATTTTTGAAAAAATTTCTAGTCTGTTTATATACACTTAAATTACTGTCATTTGGATTTCTTCTATACTCCCGTAAGCGCTTATTTTTCTCAAATTTTGCGGTTTTACAGCTTTGATCAAACCACTCTGGTTGATAACTACTGGATATTTTATTTACTTGTTTGCAACATTCACCACATTTTAGAAGAATCTCAACAATTTCAGAGTTTATTTGATTTTCGTCTACATTAGTACATTTACATTCTCTAATTAAATTTTCAACAACATTGTCATTGAGTAATAACTCAATATTTTCCAAAAATTGTATTTTACGTTGTTCTGAAAATTTATATCTAACAATTTGTTCATTACTCAGTCTTACCATCGTATCATTTCTACATAGATTTTTTATTTTTATAGAAAATACAATAGGCATATGACTTGATTCACTCCTTGTACCTATCTCAAATGCACTAATATCATCTATAGTGTCATGGCTCACAACTAAATAATCAATAACACTATTACCATTTTGCCCTATATAAGTAAAAGCCCCCTGGTTACAATCAATTAAACAATCTTCCATTTGCAATAATAAAATTGTAACATTTACAAAAATTTAAAAAATCTTTGCCAAATTTATTTACACCTGTATCATTACTAACCCTCTTTTGTATATATTCATCATCTAATATATCCCTATATTCATCATAAACAGGAGCATTATCTATGCAACCAAGATTATCAATTTCCCTCCCAATACGACTGTTTAAATCTCCTACAACAAATACATCTACATTATATTTTTCTTGTATTTCTAATAATTTATGTTCAAGAAGGTCAATACCTTTAAGTTCTTGTCTATCATAGTAGGGTGAACCATCCGGAGGTAAATAAACAATACAAATAACTTTATCTTTTATGCTATCAATAAACAAATTTTTGTCAATGACAATAAATGTACAAAAATCACAATTTGTTACAACTTGTTTTATAAACATATTCAAAGATTTCTTAATAAAAATACTTATTCCTATCATTGGACGACCATATTTTGAATGTTTTACACCTTGTATAAAGTATTCATTATATTCATACAATTCATTTGATAATAATTGGTTACTTTCTAACAACCATGTTTCTACAAAACCTATAATATAAAAAGATTTAAGAAAATCAATCAAATCTTTATCAAATATCTTATTGTTCAATCCTTCAATATTCCAGCAAACACACTTAAGTTCTGAAAGTTGTAATGTGCTTTGGCCACACCCCTATAAAACACCATTATCATTGCCAGCAGCATTTTTGTTTACACCTTTGATTCCTGCAAATGAATTATCACATTTATCGTTTATAACCATGTATAAATCTGAATTTTCCTCATCAGCTCCAACTTGTGATTCCCAATCCATATGCTTTCTTTGCATGTTTGCTCCATATTCTTCACTGTTATTACTTTTCTCAAACTTTTCACTATTAACGCTTTCCTTTCGTTGATTATTGTTTTCATTTCCCATTTTCCGAGCAGGTCTAATCATAAATCGCCCTTTATAGTAATATCCGATTTTACCTTCTTCTTTACAAGTCTTCATCCTTTCACGTTGTTTTCTTGTAAGGTCATCACTTATCCTTATATTTATTTCTCTGAGCTCGGTTCTACCCTTATATATTTTACCTTTGTCGTCATCAAATCTCAAATCAATTATTACCATCCTATCTTTATTATCATGTTTATTTCCTACTCTGAATGCATATTTGATGTCATCTACATGCCACTTTTCTTTAGGATTTGCTATTTTAAACACTTCTTCAACCACTTTTGTTTTCAACTCTCTCTCGGTTTCTTGAACATTTTCCTTTAATCCAAATATTCGCATTCTGTGTTTCAATGACTCTTTTTCAAACATTTCGGCATCCATTTCTAATTTATCTATTTTATCATTTTTAATTTCAAGCTCCGTACTAAGGTGATCTACATCCAACGTAAGTCTTTCATATTCATTTGTTAAATGCTGCATATTATCATTCAGCCTTTCAACATTCCACAAGATATCCTGTTGTTTCTGTTTAGTATCTATAATTTCTCTTTTATTCTCACTGCAATCTTGTTTTACTTTTCTTACCTCACATTTTAAATTTTCAAGTTCTTGCTGAACCTTGTCAATTTTTGCTGTTATTCGGTTTTCAGATGCACTTATCGCACATAAAATTTTTTCTTCTGATGACTCTGTTAAAGGACCTGGATTTAGTTCAATGTCCCCAGAAAGAAACAGTAACTCTTTACATGTAAACACATTCACATGTATTAACTTCAGATGATTTGTTATATGGATTGTGCCACCTACATATGAGTGAAAAGTTATCTCATTCTTTCCGACTTCATAATCATAATTAGTTGACATCAGATTAGAGTTTGAAATTTTGTCTAACACCTTACAATTTACCAACATTACAATATAAGTCATTGTTAAAACTGCCGTCAGTACAATCATAGATGAAAACACTCTAATATGTATGTCACTTCCAACAGTATTTGGATTATACCTAACTTTGCTTTTTCTGGATTTTCTTTTCATTTTACACATGGAAAAGATCCCTATGCGCATCCTATATAACTGGATATCAATACCCATGACTCAATATACTGCACTCTTTGATTCCGTGAGATAAAATAAAAACTGTCCGAAATACTTCTTGTGTCCGTCTACTACTCTACTTCGCGAAAACTTGTGATAAACTACTAATATGGATCTATAGTCTATTTTTCTCACCAAAACACCATACCAAATTTTGGCTAGTATGTTTCTGCAGTTTATAACCTGGTAACAATGTCTTTATGTTATATGTATCTGCAACTTTTCTATTTTTTCTCAAATTTAATTTTCGGTAACAAGGTATCACACCACTATTTCTATGACTTCATAATCATTTCATATTCTTTTCTAAATATCAATAAAATATAAAGCGGTGATCTGTGATACATTTCCCGTAATCTAACATGGAGTAAATGTGGCCCTTCCCCGGGGTCACTTTTTTAAAAATACCTTAACAGAGGAAAAAAAACAAGCTTGAAAATTTGTCAAAGTTTTTTTTAGAGGTTTTGTTTTTTGACTTGTGCACTGCCTTTTGACTCCAAAAACCTGATATTAAACACAAAGGCACGAGTAGCGGACCTCGGAAGAAAATATCATCACATTGATAAAAAACTTCTGTATTCAGTTAAAATGTGTCAAAAAACCCCCAAAAAGTGAAATATGAGTCCCCTTAAAAATATACATATACTATAAGTTAAGATAAGGCCGGAAACTCCAGATTAGTCTACGGGCAAGGTGTTCAATTATCGGGACATTGTAAAAGCAATTGTCCAGATAATTAACAAAACACTTTTATCATTATTTCACGTTTGTATTAGGCTTTCAAATGAGACCAACCCCAAGTCTCTAGCCCTTCCCGTTCATAAAATATTAATCAGCAAACGTGCTAAAATTGCCAAGAAGACAAAAAAGTGGCACAACGATTCGGTACATAAACATAGTCTAATACATGTTTGTCAGCCGAGTACTGGTCAAAATCTCTTGAATTTACTAAATTATCTTACTAAATACATTAAATGGGACCACTCACAACCGTCAGTAGCATCTGATTCACGCACAATTCGAGTTAGTTTCAAACCTCTACTAGGTTTCTACAATGTCAAGAGCTTCTGTGTTTGACATGTAATAAAACTTAGTTGACCTGGGGCATCTTTGTTTACCGAACACGTTCTTTTTTATCTAGATATTGATGAATGCGCGAGCAGTCCGTGCAAAAATGGTGGCACATGTACAAATAACCAGAATCAATTCACGTGTACATGTATGGCTGGATGGACGGGCGAAGATTGCAATACAGGTAACATGTTTTCCTATTATTGAACATATTTGAAAAACAACTTTGAACACTACTATTTTTCAGAAGTAGAAAGGTTTCATGGCACACTCGTTTATATTATTTTCTTTATTTCATGAATAAATATAAACATGTGATGTGTGATACAGTACTCATTTCATATTCTTTTCTAAATATCAATAAAACATAAAGCGGTGATCTGTGATACATTTTCCGTAATCTATTATGGAGTAAAAATTACCCTTCCACGGGGGTCACTTTGTTTATATATACCTAAACAGAGGAAAACAATAAGCTTGAATTTGTCAATGTAATATTTTTAGAGCTTAGATATTTGGCATGTAGCACTGTCCTCTTGACCTCCAGAAACCTGATATTTAACACACAGGCACGAGTATCGGACCTTGAAAGAAAATATGACCACATTGATAAAAACTTCTGTATTTATCTAAAATGTGTCAAAACCAGAAAATAAAAAAATGATATATGAGTCCCCTTATAAATATGCATGTACTATAAGTTAAGAGAAGGCCAGAAACTCCAGATTAGAGTCTACGAGCAAGGGGTTCATTTCCCGGGACATTGTGAAAACAATTGTTCACATAATTAAAAAAAAACTTATCACTATTTTACGTTTGAAGTAAGCTTTCGAATCTGTAGCCCTTCCCGTTCATAAAATATTGATCAGCAAACGATCAAATTCGTGCTTAAACTCCCAGGTAGACAAAAAAGTGGCACAATGATTCGTTACATAAACATAGACTAATACATATTTGTCAGTCAAGTACGGGTCAAAATCACTTGAATTTACTAAATAATCTGACTAAATACATTAACTGGGACCACTCACAACCGTGAGTAGCATCTGATACACGCGAAATTCGAGTTTCAAACCTCGACTCATTCTCTTCAATGTCAAGTCTGTGTTTGACATGTAACACAACTTAGTTGACCTCTTCAAACGTCCAATAAGCCTCACCCTGAGATCACTTTGTTTTTTTTACAATTATATAATAAACATATCTTGATTGATTTATTTTTACTCCTATGTACAGTTCAAAGAGTTCAAAGATATTTGGCATGTAGCATCATTTTGAAGTTTTCTACAAATGTCAAATTAACCTCAAGCATGAGGAAAAACTTAAAGCTGCCCTGGTGGCCACATCCTATAAAAATCATTTCTAATCTCGTGTGTAGTAAACTACATATATTTGGCATATAGCGTTGCCTAGTCGACCTTTACCAATTGTTTACGAATCATGCACTTAGGTCATAGTTGCTCTTCGGAATATAAGGACAATGAACATATAACATTATTTTCAGTTGAGTTTCGTATCTTCTTTAATTGAAATATAATTTTTTTGCTAATTTATATAAATTTTTATTCGGGCATATATTGCATAAATGATGCTCTTCTATGACAATTGAATATTTTCGTTTAAAAATGCGAATGATAAAATTTTAAAATGTCTTGTAATGCCCCGGGCATATAATAATTTAGGTTAACCTAAACCGGCAAGTTGTTTTTATCTTAAAATTTACACGTAACTAGAAAATGATTTCACAATATTCACACTTATCAATACGAAGTACTTGCTCTTGGCAAGTAAAAACCTATGACTTCCCTTTTTGCGTTGCCTTGACAAAGGCGACATATAGGGGTTACTTTTGTCGGCGGTGGCGGCGTCTGCGTCGGCGGCGGCAGCGTCCTCTTAGGCTTGTACTAAGCCTGACTCAGTCACTATAAGTTGAATTGACTCCAAACTTTTTATGCATGCTTTTTTCGATGATCTGAAGTGCTCAACGGAAAGACCCAACCTAGATATAAAAGGGGAGGTAATGGCTGGTGGGTGATTTCCCTTGAATTTTCAAACTGTATTCAGCTCAGGGAAAGATTTACAAATATATTTGCAGTAAAATACAGTTTACAAGTAAAAATTCCTAAATGAAGCAAAATGATTAATCTATGTGTCTAGATAAGAAATTTGAAAATGTATGAAGACATAGGTTCTTCTAATTTAATATCAAATGATAACAGAAATTCAAATTTGAACTAAGGGGAGGAGATTGTTATGTAAATAACCATGTGACCACATTGTTTGTAAACATAACAATGTGATCACATGGGAACCCATAAACATGCAGTAAGTTCATCAATATATTACTTTCTTGATATAATGGTTTTTCTAAGGTTTGTCAGAATAATCCACTTTGCATCAAATGTAATTTCATTTTCTTCAAATAAGGAAGTGTAGGATTGTATTAATTAAGTAGATTAGGACACAGTTTCCTTACTTTATTTAACACCAAATTTTGAATTACATTTGCTCTAGTTGGACAAAAAGAGTGCTCAGAAGTAATCATTGAAGAAATACACTGGTTTTTAGTTACTTCCCTTTACACCAATCATTGCGTCTTTACATAATTGAACAAAAGATTTTGTATCTGATTTTTATCAAAATTTATTTAGCTTTTTTGCCTTGACCTTTTTACCATTCAGGACTTTTCTTTCACTTTACACATGAGGAACAAAAAAAAAAATTCACATGAAAAAGTAAAGTCAGAATCAAAATCATTAGTTTTATCTGCTCTTTGTCTCATAAAAAATAATACTCTAGTGAGCTATCTCTTTGATGGCGTAAGCTATATTTCCAGTTTCCTTTGACATTTGAGCATTGTCTATGACCTTTTTATATTACCCACCTGAATGTACGATACATTAACTGAAACACTAATAGATGCCGTGGCCTGCAAACCTGATTATTTGTTCCGTGTGATATACTACATCGAGTGAAGATAAGGAAATATAGTGCATTCTGTTTCAGTAAAGTGTCTATATTTATAAATTAATTATACAAAATAAATGTTATTACACTGGAACATAAATCGTTCAGATAAATTGTATGTAGACAACTTTTAAAAACACTGTATCTATATACGTACTTGTAAAGCATTTTATTTGCATCTAATCATGATAACTAAAGCAATCCAACACTGACATTTTCAGCTATTATAGTAAAAAAAACAATGTAAATTGACAAAACTCTTCAAAAGTGACAGAATGAAAAACATTAAAATTCTGATGCATATATTTCAGGTACATATTTCAAACTGCGCATTGCACCAAATATATTAGATATTGAACTTGGAGACATAGGCATATCACCAGAGCTCAGATTCAATGAAAATGCTTTTAATACTCCATATGGAAAGTCGACACATTTTGACCCGTATTTTCAGTTCCGATGTTCGTTCAATGTGCTAGCGGATTTCTATTACAAGGTTAACTGGTAAGAATATGACCTGGTATCTTTCGTCATACTGACACTGTAAAATTATATGAAGCTCTTTTCGAGCTTAACTTGTGCTGTAGAGCCCTACCTGCATAATTTGAATAAGAACAGACAACTGAATTAAAGCCACGTCTGATTTTAAAGCAGTGAAATTTCTTCACTTCAAATCATTCAATGTATCGGGCTGTATTTAAATGCAAAGAAGTAAGCAGGAAATAATTATTCTGAGGGAATGCAACCGACAAAAAGCTGATTATGTGTTAATATAGTTCAATATTGGATTGTTTTACAATATTAACATTTTGGATCATTAAAAACCCAAACTATACCTTCAGCCTTTATCATTCACAAGGTAATGTGTTATTCTTTTTGGCAGTAATATAGATAAAAAAAATGAACAAAACAATATTATGACGGATAATTTATTTAAGTAGCCTGCGGTTGTTTGGTTTTGTTTGGGCTTATATTTACAAAGTTTACTTTCATTTTGACCATAGGTACGTGAACGGGGCCCTTCTAGTTTCATATGGCCCTACAACAGACATAAATGGCTTACTTTTTCACCAGAGTGTGCTTATAGACAACAATATAAAAATGGGATTCGATGTAAGTATTGTGAAGTGATATACGATTACTACAAGTTTTATAGTACAAGTATTTAGTACATGTACCAATACTATTTTTTTTATTGTTTTGAATATTTTTATTTTTCAACATTTTCCTGAAAACATATAGATTCTTATGATATCAAATAAAACATCTGGTCCGAATACGGCAACATTTTTGATACTTCAATACAGCTTTTCGTCCTAATCAAAACTATGTAAATGTTTATAAACTTTTGATATCAAAGGAAAATATTAACGTATGTTTATGTTCATAACACTCATTTTTTCAAGATCGATACTTTATAAAGATAGTGTATTACATCTTCAGTCTTTACGTTTTTGTCATGATGTATATAAGCTTCGTTTTCAGATTACTTGTGGCGTCAGTGCTCTTACATCTGATAATACGGATGCCGGGGTAACAGAAATGGTATTTAGTGCAAGCTTTTTTGCAGGCATTAAAGTAAGTGTATAGTTGAAGAATATATAGAGAGGATGATAGTTTCTTTAAATGTGTTATTTGTTTTGTTGTTTTTTTTTAATATTTAAGGATGGCCCTAAAATATTTCTTTGAAGACGCCGTGCCAAAAGGACGAAGCCAATATTGTTACACCTATTTATTTATTTATTTTAGAATCATTGTTCATGTGTAAATTAACTTAATTTGCTTAGATACAGTTTGGGATTTTTTTTCTTTTATAAAGGAAACTCAAGCCGTTTTAATCCAGAAGGTAACACTAACCCTGTGAGCTAAATGTACAAAATATACAAACATAATAGTACAGAGACCACAAACCTAGACACAAATTAAATGCAATCGTATGCTAGTAAGTCTGAGACAGCAACTGCTGCACGTCTGTTTGTCACCAAAATTTAAGTCATGAATCTAAAAAGATGAGGTTATTACCAAGGTCATCCAAAGGCCTTCATATATTCAGTTAGCGATGGGACGAAACTTGTAAACTTCTAGCAAAAGAACTGTTTTGAGCAAGATGTGTCGAATCATCCCGCAAAAGCTTTTCTAAATATTATCATCGTATTTTTGATTTGATGAATATTTAAGGGCCACTTTGAAACTCTTTTGCGACTAGGTATAAGTCTGTGAAGGAAATGACGTTTATAAACTCCGTAATATCTTGATATCTTGTCATAATTGTTTAGTTGATTTTGCTACAATTATCCAAAGAAAAGAGAACTTAGATCAACGAGGCAAGGCGGCGTGAACATTTTATAACATCTGAAAACTTTTCATTAAAAAGAGTATGACTTATCTATTTTAAAACAAACTGCATGCTTAGTGTTCAATCCTTTTACAATTTACCTTTTCCCTTTCGACTCCATCTGATAAACCAAATAAGAGAATCTCTGATGGACAGTCAATAAAGCCCTAAAAGACTAATTTGTCTTAATATTTGTCTTCTGCGTCGTGTCGTCCAACCCTTGTGATTTCTTTGCTACAGTACCATCCTTATGGCATTTAGAACTTTGTAATGACCATTGGGTTTCCATTTTTATGAATTTACAAGGGCGTTTCAGTGTTTTATTTATTTAACCTTTTATATACGCCCGAAAAAGGTTTCGGCGTATACTGTAATGCAGCTGGTCGTCCGTCCGCCCATCTGTCAGCAGGTTTCGTGTCTGGTCTTTATCTTTAGAACTGAAACTACTCGACAGAAATATTTATAGTAATGACACAGAGACAATGTGCAGAGTGCAGGTTTTACCTTCCTCTGGTCAAGGTCAGACACACTTAGTCATAAGGTATTTATTTCCGTTTCGTGCCCGATCTGTATCTTGTAAGCACAAGGTAGGAAATGAAATAAAAACTATTTGGCAGACATATTAATTATATGGCGATGATGTGCTAAACGCAAGTTTTGGCTTCCTCGGATTTAAATCAAGGTCCAATTTATTCGTTCAAAATCAAAATTAAATAAGCTTTTATATTATAAATGGCGATTACTATGTATGAATTTATTAATATGCTTCCTCCTTTATTATAACTAATATGATACCTCCTTTTATTTCTTAATCTTCTTTAATCTATTACTTTATTATGTTTTTTATCAAACTTTTATTATTTTAGACTTTTTTTCTGTAAAGATTATAATTGTTAAGGAGATTATGTTTAATAGGTTTGAATAATTACATGTATATCAATATGATTAGTTGCAGAATATAAATCTCATGGCTATCACTGCTTTTCTGAATGGTTTAATTTTAAAAGCTAAAGGGAGGTAATAACAAAACAGTTGCATATGCCCGAAAACCGTTTACGATATTTGGTCAATAATGCACGTCATGTAATCTAACCGTAGCAAGAGCATTATTCTTCGGGATTTTTCAAAATAGTTCTCTCTATTCTATTGCTATTTGAAATAAAACATGCCATTGACAAATGTAATTAATTGGTTTCCTGTCTAATTCAAAAGTTATTTTGATTACTTTAAATTTTGATTACCAAAATAAATTTGTATAAGGTGTATACTGTCGCCATGTCCTTGCATTGTCTTCATGAGCTATTCTGTATCTGTTCGGTGCCTTGCAGTGTTCCTTGTCGATGGTCCGGTGTTGCAGCATATTGGTGGGAGTTGCGTTCAATGAATTCTGCCTTTCTTTGTGATCTGTGTTCTCTTTTTGTGTCGCCTCTACGGAGTAGTGGCGACATATAGGGATCACTTCTCCGTCGTCTGTCTGTCCGTCTGTCTGTCTGTCTGTCTGTCCGTCCGTCCGTCACAAAACTTGTCCGGGCTACTCCTCATAAACTACTGGTGCAATTTCATCCAAACATTACAGGAATGATCAGTACCAAGTCTAGTTGTGCATATTGTCAGCATTTTGCGGTTCAATGATTTTTGTCAAAGTTATGGCCCTTTAATAATTTTTAATTTTAAAGTTTGTCCGGACTATTTCTTTTATACCTCTAATGCAATTTCAATGAAACTTTACAGGATTGATCTGTAGCTCAAGTCCTTGCGCATATTGCACGGGTTTTCCGGTTGAATGATTTTTGGCCGAGTTATGGCCCTTTAATAAAAAGGTTTCTTTTTCTGTGTGTTGCCAGATACACAAAAGCTTGTCCGGACTACTCCTCATAAACTACTGGTGCAATTTCATCCAAACTTTACAGGAATGATCAGTACCAAGTCTAGTTGTGCATATTGTCAGCATTTTCCGGTTTAATGATTTTTGTTTGAGTTATGGCCCTTTAATATTTTTTATTTTTAAAGTTTGTCTGGACTACTTCTCTTATACCACTAATGCAATTTCAATGAAACTTTACAGGATTGATTTGTAGCTCAAGTCCTTGCGCATGTTGCACGGGTTTTCCGGTTGAATGATTTTTGGCTGAGTTATGGCCCTTTGATAAAAAGGTGTTTTTTTCTGTGTGTTGCCAGATACACAAAAGCTTTTCCGGACTACTCCTCATAAACTACTGGTGCAATTTTATCCAAACTTTACAGGAATGATCAGTACCAAGTCTAGTTGTGCACTGTCCGTCTGTCTGTCCGTCTGTCACAAAATTTGTCCCAACATGAAATTGGCCATCATGAGGCGACACATGTGATTACTGATCGCTCTTGTTATTTCTAGTTGGGTGGTTCTAACATTCTTACGTTGTGTGTGCTCTAAAATATAATTTGTTATTTTTTGTTATTAGATATCAAATACAACCATCAACATTGATAAAGGTGACACAGCGGTTCTTCAAATGACATCAACAATGCCAATAGGCTGCAGATATGCCGATCTACCAGCGGGGGATGATTGTATTGAAAATTTTCAAATTTTTAACCGTGATAATGAAGACATACAATGCGAAGCTGGCGTTGCTAATTTAGCTGCACTACAACCAAACCAACGATGCTCAAATGGTCTGCAGGTACCATTGTCTTATCATTTAATGAACTGTTTTTAAGTAATTTAACATTCAAATGAATGATGAATTGACGTCTGCAATTTTAAATTTAGAATTCATGTTAAAATGTTGCAAATTGCTTGAGGCGTTGCTTTAATGCGTGACCGGTAATCTGCACGAATCAATAACAAGACTCAATAAAGCACAAAATTTTCATTTTGCCATTTATGGCATTTTCTTTTTCTATGATATTAAATGTCTAAATAAGATACAAATGATAATATTATACAGTTATTGACCAGTGAGCCATTGAATATGATGTGATATTCACAGCCAATATAAACTCTGGAATCAAGGTTTAGAACAAATCTCATCATTTTATTTTGTGTTGTCTGTAATTTATTTTTCAAGACCTGAGTTAAACCATTATAGCAAACACAGCAGGCATAGTCAAAGTGGCACTGAATTAAGGAATTGACAAGCAGTTTTTTGGTAGTCTGTGTAAGGAAATCTTTCTTACGGTAAAGGAACTTTAACCTGGCGTTAGCCTTCGGAATTACTGAGTCTGCCAAGTAACCAAAGGACAGGTACTGATCAATAGTTACCCCAAGATATTTGATGGATGTGGAGCTTCTATTGCAGTGCCATTACAATTTATGTTTAATTTGGAATGTGACCTGGGTGTCTACGGTGTATGTTCATTGAATATGAATCTCAATCTATTTTGAGACTGGGAAAATCCATTTCAGCAAGTGAATATGATACTACAGCCATTTAATATGATTTTATAAAAAGTTATGTTGACTACTGTTTGGACCCTTGAGATTGCAGCTATATTTAGATCAAATAATAATACTTTATGTTACTTTTACCAATTTTCGAAAGGATTTCTCATGAGACAATATACTTATGATATGACAAAAGATTAGCAAGGAAAGATGGCAATCACAGAACAACCTAATAACACCGGCTAACTGACTGTTTGAATGAATAATTTTATTTCAGACGCTAAAAAATGGATCAACTTGGAACCCTGATACAGTGTTCAATTTCTCGATAGTGACAACAGACATGAACTATGATGATAAACGGCTTTTTTACCTTTTGTTACAATTTCCCGATACAATGGGTCATGCGATTTGGAGGAATTATAAATTTCCATTGATTAAGGTACTTCTAAACATCTTGCATGCAATTACATTTCATATACTAATCGCTTTTCTTTCTGTTTAGAAATATATTATTTAAATTATGTAACCATTCAATATGTTTTTGCTCTTATTAATATCTATGAAGTAACATGTACATGGCATAAAGAAAACATTCATTAACTCCATTATCGAGACATATTCTCAATGAAATATTGGAATAGTGGAACTCCATATGAGCATGTAGTAAACTCTATCTATATATATGAATCTAAAATAGATTCAAAATGTTTGACTAGAAACAAAAAACTACCACGTTTATAAGCTAAATACATGGTGTTATACTTTAGAAAAGTATAGAACAATCCAAATACCAACAGTATGTATTCAAACCGTTGACAGATTGTGTAAAAATAAAATAATGCAATGCATAACATATTTATCAATTTCATTCCATGTTGTCCTTAAAGGTCCAGATATAATAACAGTATTTGAAAGAGGAAAACTAATTAAAAATGTTAATAGTTGAAAATACCAATAGTTGACATTGATATATTCGTATTTAAAGGTTATCGTATCTGACAATGGCGAATACAAATCAAAGATATGTTACTCTCACGTAGATCCACATATGAGATCAGCTGACGGCGTGTAAGTCTTAAAGATACCTGTATCCGTTTCTATGGCAGAATAATTAATATTTTTGCCATCACTAAACACTCAGATATCAAGTTTATTGTCTAATCTTATTTATATATATTCTAGTTTGATCTGTCATTTAAATTAATAACACTATGTTTCTTTGCTTGTTAATTTGTTTGTATTTTTTATAATACTTAATAATAATTCTTTGGTATAAAAGTAACCAAAAACATTTTTCGAGTGTATAATCAAAACTATTTACAAAGAAACAATATTTAATAATGATTATTCTGATGTCACAGATATTATGATCAACACAAAAAGAACGGTCAGCCTTTTCCTGGTGTGTTCATGTTATATCATAACACTAAATATGGAATCGAGGTAGGTCTTATAAGGCATGGCAATATTTACCGTAAATATTCAAATGCTATCATTTATATGAATATTGATGTCTTCTTCATTGTAAGTGTTTGGCATAAATGAATTTCACCAAATTACGGAGAATAAGATTTACAATGTAAATTGTAAAATAGAATGGTTATAAATGAGATAAACTCATTAACAATATGCAATGTAATATTCTTTTTTATAAATTTATAAACATTAACTTTATGCATGTTATATTGATAGTGTAATTGTTGATTTTAGAAAGAGTTGTGTCATAGAATGCCTGTTTGTTTTACAATTTTTATGTAGACGTAAAAAATAAAATGTTCCGACAAAAAAAAAATATTCAGCTATTTTCAGAAGTTTTAATCATGATTTGAAGCATGTGCAAGTGACCCTTTATAAGGAAATATATAATGCAATATACAAACGTATTTCTTTAAAGGGACTTCACTGAGGTTTTCTGACATGATGGGACTGCAAATATTTTTTCCAGATAGATGTAACATTTGATGTAGGTTTAGACCACTAATCTTTGTGCAAAATTTCAGATCATTTGCACACTTCGTTTTTCCAGAATAATAATTCAAATTGTAAAAAAATGACCAAAAATGAAAAGCGTTTAAACACTTTTCACTAAAATCTGTTTAAGAAAAGCATAACAATACTATTTTCAATTTATTTTATTTTTTAACTATCTTTGTATATATTTCTGTTTAAAGTGCCCCAGCTCATTTATGTAAGAAATTCAAATGTAATGTTTTAGGCTTTTAAACCTCAGTGGAGTCCCTTTAAAATGGGGTTATGGAAAATTCATTTTTTTTTGTAAACTACACGCGACACATACAGCTTTTAACAATTTAAGATTTTGAAGTATGAATTGTATTTTTAGGTTCAAGAAAAATCTAAGATCTGCAGTGGTGTAAGGGCGACGTGTGCCTGTGGTGTTGCTATTCGAGCCGGTAAAGATGTTTTCATGATTAATAGGTGTGGCAGTATAAACTATATTGGTTTTACAAAATGCGAAGACGGTGGAATTTTACAAGTCGTAAGGATAAATGATTACACATACGATGTAAGTGTTATTTTAAGCTTTGACAATTAGTGAAGACAATCAATAATATACTAGTAACGATCATGATTTTTTCTAAAGGTTTAGAAATGATGAAATATACATTTAAATTTTGAAAACGGTGTCTGATATAATCCTTTAATGCATGAAAGTATAAGAACGTTAAAGATATTAAATGTTGTGTTTTGCGATTTTAGAGTTTCAATATGTCTTGCTTGGATCCCCACCCCCACCCCAAAAAATCAAATCAATCCACGCTTAGGTACAACAGTTATTCATTCAAATTGTCATATGTGTTGTTAAAGAATACGAAAGAGTCGCGAAATATGAAAAAATAAAATCTATAAGTACTTACTGAATACTATGTCTTAAAAACTGAACGTGATGTTGCTTTTGTTTCAGTATTATTATGTATTGTATCAATTTTTATTGTTTTTGCATGTATTCACTTTATTTGCATTCCACATGTGTATTTTGAAATACACCTATTTTTCCAATTTAAGGTTTTTACACCAATTGGTACTAAAATAACAATTAGGCTACACGGTTACTTTATGAACATTGACATAACAATGGCACCTAAAGACTTGCTTAACATTGAGGGACTATGTGGCCAGTTTGACAATAATCCAGCCAATGATTTTCGACATAGAGACGGAACTATTTCAGAAAACAATTCAGCTGATAAAAACAGCCATTTTGCAGACTTTACAGAAAGCTGGAGGTAATAATATTATAGACTAAGTATCTGTTTGAACAGTAAATAGGTAATCCAAATGAATAAAAACAAAATACTGTTTGTGGTGGACTTCTATCCTTTGAATATAAGAGTGAAAGCTATTCCTTGTTTTGTCCTTGCTACACCTATATTTAAGATCACTTTGTATTATTGAAATGAATAACAACATACCATATTTTTACTTCATTAACACTTTGAGATTTAATCCTATTTTTACAATTGCTAAAATAAAAGATTTAATTCACAAATAAATGCTAGTATTACGGTCCAAATAGAACATTTTTTTTATTTCTCAACAATGAAAGATGTTACTGAAGTCTATATAACAAATTGAACCGAACCTTTATATAGTAAATGTTTAAGAGCATGAGAAACTCGAGGATTCCTGAAACATGAAATAAACATGAATTTGTAATTATATAAGAACTCAAGAGGAGTAAGAAATTAGAACTGTGGAGTTTCAATGTTATACAATTAAATAAAACTTACATAAGAGCTCATGTGGAGTATGAACTTAGACTAAGGAGAAAATAAGTGAGTATAATACGTAAATAATAATAATAATATAATAGTTTCGTAAGACTTACATAAGATTGAAATAAAATAATTACGATAGAGTATATGCCTATTATAACTATTGAGTATAAGCACAAATAAAAAATATGAAACAATACAATTTATGTGTTGGTTTACATATGCATACATACATTGTATGATACAAATAACAAAAACAAAATAAATAAAGATCGTAATTTCACGACACTGTTGTCTGCGTAATATTTGATACGCCCATTTACTATTTTCTATCATGCAAGTCTGTTATCACCAGAGACTTGTAATATTACCAAGCCCTGATTTGTTTTATTCGTGAAACTTTTACCGAGTTATTGTCGTGAAGTGTCTAGATTCATATTGTCGAAGGCTTTCTCCTTTAATTGTTTCTAACGTAATTATGGCCCTTTGTTTTAACACAGACGTAATATAGAAACATTTTTTCTGCAACTTCTACGTCTCTGAATCAATCTCAAAATATTGAACTAAGAAATTCAAATAGTTCAAATAGTCAAATAGTATAATTCATGCACTTGATCGTCTGTCAGTCTGAAACAATTTCATGTTATATTTCCTTTAAATGTGTCAGTAGTTAATGTTTCGTCAGGTTCCTTCCACCCATCAAGCTTTTGCTATAAAATACGGACCCGGACATGCCAATAGTCAGATTTCACATGAAACCATCTGTTCTAACCTCGAACCTTTCAACTCCCTGCACCTCTACATTTTCATTTTGGTTATAACCAAAGTTTTACAAGCCAATTGTCATTAGTTGATTTAGCATACTGTAGTTTTTGGGGACTTTGCGATTTAATGAATTCGATGGAAAATTATAACACGTCATTGCTGTTTTAAGATAAATAAAAAAAAATGGATAAATGGATAAATAAATAAATAAATAAATAAAATAAATGAATAAATGAATAAAATAAATTAAATAAATAAATTAATAAATATAGTTAGTACCACGGTGTCAGAGAAAAACATTCTATGCACAAGACCTCTAGTGTTCATAAAGGATTATACTTTAACTTTTTTGCGTTTAAAACTCTTGTCACTTTTTTCTTCTCTCTTTCAGTTTGACTTTGGATGAAACAAAGCCACTCAACTTATTTCTTACAGGACATAGGGATTTAACCAGTTGGGGTGATTTAAATGGTATGTTTTGTGTCTGTAGCTCTACATCAGTAGCAGAAGCAGCATGCTATCCCACCCAATATTTGAATTGTACAATGAGCAGATCAATAACTGGTACAAAATGTAAAGTACCAAACAGGAGGAAAAGAAGTGCTAAACATGACAAAGAAATAGAAAGATTACTTCAGTTAATGTCTTCAACAGAACAAAATACAGCTGAAATTAACACTAGGATCAAGGTAAATTTGAAAATGTTGCATTTCTTAAGATAAAATACATTAGTACTCACAACATGGTATTGTATTCTTAGCTACATTCTATAAAAAACAATTTATGATATAAAAAAGTAGATAAAGCGTTTACATTATGACCCATATTATAGTTTCTTTCTTTGTTTCTTTCTTTCTTTCTTTTAATACTTTTATATATCTGTAAAATGTTTTGTCTACCAATGTTCATATTATAATATACTATGTATATTTATGATCACCTCATTATATTTCCCATTGCTATGTCATGTTTGTTGTATTATGTTGTATGTGGGCCGGAGGCCTAAATATGTTACAAGAAATAAACTTCATTCATTTGTTCGTTTGTTCGTTCGTTCGTTCGTTCGTTCATTCATTCATTCATTCATTCATTCATTCTTTTATTGTGCCGTTAAAATGATTAACTAATATTATCCAGATATTACTCATTAAGTTTGGTTTGCACTAAGTATTATCAGATTGTTTTTTTTGTGTAACACTTTTTTCTGTTAAATTGATTTTACTGCCTTTGAATCTCATAAACATGCCATCATAATTGATTACAATTTTTGATCAGCGTCAAGATATCAATATAATTACGGAAACAGCAGCTCAAAAACTGTGTGCAGACAAAATTTCCGGTAGTCTAGCTGTGCAAGGATATTCAGAAGTTATTGGCAATGAAGATCCTGATGAAGTTATAAGTCAATGTACATTTGATGTAATGGTAAGGAACCTCTTTATCCTAATACGACTTACTTTAGAAGATCGGAATAAAAATTTTAATAGACGACATTAAACAGTACTTGCAAAATGTTACAATAATAAACAATCACATATTTATTAGTGATTTTAAAATATGAACTAATTAGTCTTTTTCTTTTTGACTTTTAGTTATTTATTTGTTTAATCATGCAGAAAAATATTCATACACAAAGAATGAAATTTGCCATATCATAAAACATTAACTTAGCCCCCTATGCAACGAATTATAAAATGAATGTAGTTTTATCCATATCAAATATTTATGAAGAATCTGGTAAAATATAAATTAAACAAAATGTAAGTCAACAAAAAAAAGCCTAAGAAATATTATCCATATATATACTTGTAACCAAAGCACGCTTTTGGTCCTAAATGTTTTTCACTTAGTTAAGAAAGAAACACACATACGTAGAGTGAATATGTTTACATTTTACAAATTTAAATGTCATTCTTTTTCAGGTTGGAAACGATACGTCATGGGCTCGAGCACATGTAGAATCTGTTAATAATATTGTAAAGAATATAATAGAAAGGGAACCTTCATACACTGCAAATAACACTGAAAAGGTTATTACATTCTTTAAAAATACATGCCCTGGAAACTGTAGCAACAACGGTGAATGTACACACACAAGTAAGTGATTTATTTATATTTATAAAATACTTATATGAAACTGTTCTTTAATTATGTTTGTTTTGTTTTCAATAAAACAATCAAACTAAATAGATATGGTCATATCTAAAGTAACATTATGTCAAGTTGATGATAGAGTGATAGAAATTACTGGCAAATAATGGTTATCATAAACTGATTTATATAAAACATCTTTACGTAATGAAGGAAATTTCAAAAATAGGTAAGCACTTATCTCCAAAGTATGAGGTGTCTGCGATTACTCATAAAGACTGAATTGTATCTAAATCATCGTGTTTGATTTTTCGGTTCTTAAGTTGATCTTAGAGATATAAATTACAGGTGAGTGTGATTGCTTTGAATTTTTCCATGGAGCGGAATGTGACATAGATGAAAGAGATCCTTTGATAATTGACGACATAGAAGGTGGCGGAGAATGTGATCTAGGTGATGGCGAAGAATGTAAATGTTTCCATATCAGATCTTCAAATATTCTTGAAGGTTTAAAATGCAAAGCCAATGCTTTCAAGGTATATAATATATACATTGCTGTTACATTTTCTTGTTCTATGCATTAAATGATATCAAGTAATTCAAGAATAAAGCATTGCATACGTGAGAGGTGATGTTTTTAATTCTACTTATTTTCCCAATTCTTATATAAACAGATGACTAGTGTAAAAACTGAGCGTGTCAATTTTATCTCTAAATTTTGTTTCAATGGTCTTATAGATTGCCTGTGTTTGCTGAACCGTCAAAACCTTTCAGAATTTCGCTTGATTAAAAACAATATCCTATGTATTATTGCTCTAAACTTTGATTTAACTTATTGCTATTTCAAGTTAAATTTTGAATTCTGCTTTAGCCGTTTCTACAGAGCATTGACTGTGACTTGCATTTTTCAGTGACGTCCTTCATCAGGCTCAATCAAACCGAGCCTGCAACATTTTCTATTAAACTGTTTTGAGATTATTTTCCTCTCCATTGTACGAAATACAATCATGTTTCATCAATACCCTCAATGTTAAACTGGAAACATTAGCTACTGTGTGCGTTTGATAGTTTGTCACATTTAACTACACATTCATAAATCATTGAATTGCTTTTTTCCTTGAAAATGATAAGGGCATTTTATGTTTTGAAATAGATTTCAGTCACTGGTGAAAGGGAGATGCAATACACAAAGTCATTCATAGGTGGATATGAGGATATATTTACTGGGGTGTGCTGTGTTCAAGACAACATAATTGATACGGAAAGTTTATTTGTTACGCAATACGATTTTTCTATCAGCAATAATGGTTTAACGTACGGAAACTATAAGAGTCTTTACGTGTTCGACTCAACTTGCCAAGAAGGGGAGTATACTTCTTTCGAAAACGCATCATTCAGCTTAAAGGTACGATAAAAACAAAAAGTCGCGACTCTAAACTATTCTGAAATTTATACTTATCCACGAATGGGATTTGAGTATAGAAACAAATTTTTTATCTTTATTGTCAATGTTTTTTTTACTTGGAATTAAATCTGACTTACTTTTCCTATACAACAACAACTATCTGAAAATGATTTTCAAATTTTATTTTGTAAATCTGTGCCTGCACTTTTATAAAACCATTGACTATGCAGCCGGGTGTCTGTGCTAGTGAACGTGACTGCAAAAATTCTACTGAGACAAAATGCGTTTTCTAATGCATAATGTCTTGGGTTTTATAACAATTCTGTTAAACACTTGTTACGAATATAAGAATCTTACACTGGCTGCCGGTAAAGACCGGAATATCTAGCTCGAGAGTAACTATTTACGGTTGTAACGAGGCTCTGCCGAGAGCCAGATATCTTCGTATGTACCGACAGCAAGTGTTGATTCTTTTTCTTGCGTATCAAATAACATTTATTTTCGGAACAGAAATTACGAAAACTGATTTTCATTTCACACTTTTTTCTTATAGTAGCGTATAAACTTACAAACTTAATTCATTACTGTAAAATGACGTCATCCTTAGAACGCAATTCATTCATAAAAGGCGCCCTGAAATGACGTCATTTAAAGTACGCGTCTTGTCTTAATTGGGGGTGTAAGATAGGGTTTTCCAGCACTAGTGAGAACAATGTTACACTAGCTGCCGGTACAGACCAGAATATCTAGCTCGAGGGTAGCTGTTTACGGCGGTAACGAGGCTCTGCCGAGTTTCCGCTTAACAGTTACCCGAGAGCAAGATATTTTCGGCTGTACCCACAGCCGGTGTTTGATTCTTTTTCTTGCATATTACATGTCAATTATTTTCCGAACAAAAATTAAGAAAACTGATATTCTCATTACGCACTTCTTTCTTATAGTAGCATATGAACTTTCAACTTCATTCATAAATGTAAAATGACGTCATCCTAAGAACGCAATTCATTCATAAAAGGCGCGCGGCAATGATGTCAATTTAAGCACGTGATTTGTCTTACATGGGGTGTAAGACAGGGTTTCCTAGCACTAGTGTAATAGGTAGACACCTGTCTGACATGCAAGAAATGTATGCTTTAACTGAGACTCATTGACTGGGTTCAAAAACGATACTTCTTTAAAGTGTATGAAGCTATATATATGAGGCAAAAAATGTTTGGATTTTTAAAAAGAAAACTTCCAAACAGGGTCTTTCAAAACGAATGGTCTTGAGTCGGACCAATTTTACGAAAAAAAAATGTTTCGGTTGAATCACATGATAAGGTAGTCTACCGACCGTGATCAGGCTTAGTACATCACCATTCAAAAATCAAATTATAAGATGTTTTGTTAAATCGATCAAAGAATTACTGAAAACTAATCCTGGCTGCATTACGTTATTAGTTGTTACTTTAAAAAGTAACAATTTTGTAGATTTGCAATGAAATTAGGATTTTTTTTCGTTCCTGGTGTCAAGGTAAAAATTTGCTGCTCATATTTGAAAATATGTCCGAGTTTTATAAAAAAAAAAGTATGCATTGTTCAATGGGAAAATAGAAATACAGTAAAAAGGTGTTATTTAATCGTATCATGTAATAAGTTTATAATATAATTCACGATGTTATTTACAAATATTTGATGTTTAATTAGGTGCATTTTCAAAATTGCGACGTTTATCGGCAAATTGTCAGAACAAGCAATTTGTTTTTCAACAGATATGCCTTTAAAAACATTATTTTCTGAAATATTTATCCTTTTTTCACAAGTTTAAAGATTTTTAAAAGAACATCATGTCGTTAGAATTTTCATTTTTGCTCCTGTATTTAATTTTCGCCCTTTTCTTGAACACTTACTTAATTTGCGTGTAGCAAACTATGCAGAGTTCTGCCGAAACATGTTTAATTTTAGCGAGAAGGGTTTACATAGCGCGTTTCCGGACCATTCTATTTGAAAGACCCTGTATGAAATAAAAATGGCAATAAATTGCCCTACTTAAAATAGCAAAATAATATTTTGTTCCGAAACATTTTATTCTGTTTATGTACATTAATTATGTGTGTTAAACAATGGAGACATTCTATGTTACAACTTTTCAGGAAGCAACCATATAATAATAGAACCAATATAATTTTACTGTTGATAAATTTTATAAAATATTTCATAAAATATATAGAGGATATTTGTTTGTTTTGCATGTAAGATTGAAATATAATTTCACTGAGTGAACACCAGATGCAATATTTTCACGAGTGGCGTAGCCACGAGTGAAAATATAATAGCTGGTGTCCACGAATGAAATATATTTCAATCTTATATGTAAAACAAATAAATTTTCTTTTTATTTCATGCGTTTTAAGTAATTTTAAGTAATTTTTACTGATTTTGCCGCGTAACGTCGCGCATTCTCCTTCGTGACGTCATCACATCATGACGTCACATCAACAAATTTGAAATATAGTTCTGTTAAATTTCTCTAATTTTGTTACATTTTTAGCATAATGTATGGTGACATCGACTTTCTTTTCCGAAAGAAGCAAAATTTACGCATGACGGCATTTATTTTTGCCTGTTATTCCATTCAGTTTTGATTTTCTTTTCATCCGCATTCAGATATAGTCCGGCTACAGTGATAATTATATTTTATAAATTTCACTAGTGGTTTATCAGAATATAATCATCTGATATATTACAACAAAACACTGGAAAGCATGAAATAAAGATTTATACCCTTTAAATTCTATACAAAAATAGAAAACATGTTTTTCTAAAGGTCACTTGACTTGAAAAAAATTGTTTTTATCTTGTTTTATATGTATCAAATAATCACCTTTAGCACACAATAAATATATGTGTGACATCATATATGTTTGAGAACAAACTAATTCCATTTAAGACTGGATTCTGTTTCATCAATGGATTTTGTACAGCGGAAAAAGAGATGGCTCCTGTTGGTTGTTTAGCATGTCAGTCTATAAAGGATAAATATAACTGGACAGGTACGTTTTTCATAGTAGTCATGGTTAAGTGTTGTTATATTTTAGGCACATGTCTAGATTGCGAACAGTTACATTAACGCATTTTCATTATAGGATTATGCTTCTGACGCTGCTAGCGTAACTTGCATTCACCCTGCCGTACAATCAAAGTGCTGGGGGTTGTCATATTGTTGTGTTATCAATCTTTAATCAATTTCTTTGTATCATTTTAGCTCTTCTCTGTCATAATAATTAGGTACAGCACTTTTATCTTTATATTTCTTTTCACAATTGTCTTCCTGTTTGTCATCTTTAATATAATTGACAAGTCAACGGTTTATTGGCTCTTAGGAATAACTTTCCTCAAGTTGAATATCATCTAATATTCTCATAGTAATCAACACGGTATTTATCTTTTAATAAGAATAAATAAACCTGATAGTTTTCTCTATTAATATGCATTTCTTACAATCGTTTACCGACGCCTTAATGTCCAATGTACATATATTTTTCTCGAGCTCTATACGCCATTTATTATCAATGCTATTTCAGTTTATAACCCATGCCAGAATAGTGGTTCTTGTACTGACGAAACTAACGGCTATTCTTGCGTTTGCGTTGATGGATATGGCGGGAAGAATTGTGAAATCGGTAACGCTTACATTTTTTTCAAAAGACTAAATGTAAAGCAATTTATCAAATAAGTAAAAATATCGACCCGTTTCTTTCCTTTTGATAAGCTAGTGTGTTGATAATTTTTAAGTAGACATTTTTGACAGTAGACATTTTATTTTATTCCAATAGGCTTTAAAGCCCATGCGGACATAAATCATTCACAATAACGAACAATGTATGACATAAACATATATACATAATTTCAGCAATCATGAAAAATGTTTGGAGAAGATCAATTTTGATTGATAAAGTAAATACCAGCCGAAAATTTTCTTAAGTACAGTAGGGTGAACGTGTCAGTTTACACGCAAAACGCACGTTACACGCTATACGAACGCACGTTACACGCTATACGAACGCACGTTATACGCACGCAAAACGAAACGAAATACGCAGACGCACGCATAACGATATACGCTAAACGAAATACGCTAAACGATATACGCACGCTAAAACGCACGCAAAATGAAAACGTTTCTAAACCTTTATTAAAACATCGTAATCATTTTAAGTTTTTAACAACTTTAGCTACATGTAGAACGTTTAAGCGATAAATTTTGATCATCATATATATAGATGTAAGGTAGCTAGAAATGTATTTTAAACGAGTTTATGTAAGAACTGAAATGCACTCAACCTAGCACCGAAATAAATTTTTGTCACAACCTCAACAAATGATTTTTAGATATATTTATAAGCTATCATGCGCTAATATCGAAAGTAAAAAATTTAATGTAAAGTGTGTCCTTTTTATACGCAATTGGATAAAGAACTATCCCTTGCATTCACTACGTAATCTCTACGTAATAGTCCAAAATGGCCGACATTGAAAAAATCATTGCAAATTTTTATAAATATACAGTGGTAACAATTAAATTCAGATGGATTTATGTGGCAAATCTATATATTAAGTGAGGCTGCATCATAAACAATCGAAATATATAATCTTGAGTGTAAAATAAAGGAATTAACTATTTTGACAGAAGTCACGAAAACAGATTAAAAACACAGGATTCCACCACGGATAACATTGAGGGAAATGGATAACATTAAAGGAAAAGCTTCCAGAATCAAGAATGATTAAATTGCTGGCACAATACGTAGATTTAAGTTGATGTCCTGTATGTTTCTTTAGGACACCGCAATTGATTTACTGTCTTGTCGCCTGTAAAAGCTTCTCAAAACGAAAGTGAAAGTAGAAATAATCAGCGAAATCACTAAAAAAGGTAAAATTTCTAGGACATTACAATATATTAGTATAGATCTATATAAATATTAAGAACGCAATTTTATTTTAGGTCTGAAACTGTAATCAAGAGGAAAAAAATGAGGAAAATTATTGGATTTACAAAGACAGCACAACAGAAAATATTTTTCATATCACTATAAATTGAAACTTATTGATCTGCGCTTAATATGTAATAAGAAATTAGTCAGAGCCTATGAACGGGGAAGTCGTTAAAAAATTCCTTTCTTTCTTTCCGTTTTAAAATTATCATTCGGTATTACATGCACCGCTTCCCTTTTCACTCAGAACACTCGACGTTTATTATTTATCCGATAAGTTGAGATTTATCGGAATACCCCGCCTTTTATCATTGAGTTACATTGTAAATGGTGGCCCCCGACTAGAACTGACACTGAAAATTTCATTGATAGGTATAGAATTCTATATATTTTTTAATTGTTTTTTATTTGATTTTCTTTTAAATATACACATGTAGTCTATAGCCGGGCAAGTCAAAGCCCGGACCCGCGGTTTTTGACTTCCCCGTATTAATATGCTTTATCACACACCAGTGCCGATTTTGCCACTCAGTAAATATGGTATTGCACATCCATGCATATAATTTGACATGACCTCATTAGCGTTATAAAAACATTATGTAAAGATGGCTAAATGGTAATCAGGGCCGGCAAAATCTCAGAAAATTGTACTTGTCCACGGACAAGTAACTTTAGAAATTTACTTGTCCGTACTCTATGTTCACTTGTCCGTATTTTGTATGTAATATTCAATAAAGAGAAGCAAATATGAACTTTCTTCAATTTTATTAAACATTTTATGCCATTAACCCACATTGTTTAAAAATTTATTAATATATTAGGATTATATATCTTATATTTATAAAATATAAACAGCAGTACTTAGTAGGTTAATGTGAAATGAAGGTGATGGACAAATTGGGTGTATTTTACTGCACAGAACATTGGTCTTTTGCCAGCTTTTCTTTCAGCTTTGCTCTTGTGTCATTTATCAGTTGAGTATCCTGCTGCTCAGGCTCAATATCAATATTAGCACTGCTGCTTGATGGCTCAACAGGCTTTTTAGATTTGGGCTTATGTGTAAGATGCCTACTGCCCTTACTGCTACCCAACCAGTACAACACACTGTCTGTGGGGTCAAACTCTTCAAGACTAGGACCAGACATTACAATACGCATCTGATTAAGAAGATTAGCTTGGCTCATTGAACTACGACTTGGGGTTTTAATCAAATTCATAGATGAGAATGACCGCTCACACTCAGCTGTGGAAGGAGATATAGCAAACAACATTTCTATAAGAGTAGCAATATGGACGAAGGTCTTCTCATTTGACTGAAGTATTTGTGTCAGGACAGCCAAAGGATGACCACTCTTTTGCATTGACAACCTAACCTTTAATTGCTGCCACTCAGAAGGAATGTTTGCTTTATCTTCTTCTGACAGTATGTTTTCATAGCATTGAACCAACGAAACAATGTCAGCATTGCCATATACAGACAAGTCATCTAGTGAGTTTGGCCAAAGTCTAAAATCAAATACACTAAAGTTAACAATAGGCACATCAGACAGGTTGCTGAACCTATGCAAAATATCTTGACTGATGTTACGTAAAAACCTTATAATATCATTGTCTTCAGCAAAGACTTTTGGCAGAGGACCATTTAGCTTGACCCCTTTGTAGAGCCTGGCATCAGTATCAAATGTATCATAAAACTCCTGTAGACTTTCTCCAGGAGTAACAGTCATTGCATGAAGATGTGTATATAAGGTATTTACAGCTTCCTGAATTTCAAATATTAACAAATCATTCAACTGAAACAACTGGCTAACAGAGGTTACATGTCTAAGTATATCAAGCATCAAATGCATGTATTTAACAAATTTAACTTGAGTAATATCGCTATGAATTTTCTTAGCTTGTGATTTTTCATCAGTTTTTTTAGATGTTTCTATCACCTGCTCAAGATGCATCACTGTAGCCTCATAGTCCTGTACAACAGCATTTACTGCACGACGTTTACTAGATACCCAACGAATTGATTTTATGTCAGAATACATAATAAGGTCTTTGTCCAGAACTTCAGAAATACTACAAAGGTGTGCTCGTCGTTTGGGACTTGGAGAATAGAATCTATAAATACGCTTAATGGTACTTTCAAACTGTTCAAGATAAGATTCTGTTTTAGCAGCATCTAAAACTCCAAGTTCCAAACGATGAGCTACACAGTGAGTAACTATCACTTTGTGATTAACACAATCTGAAATCTTTTTAGCTACACCATTTTTGGCACCCATATTCACACTGGCACCGTCCATGTTTATGCATGCAAGTACTGGTTTACTGTCCCGATTTTCAATATCAATGTCAATAGTTTTCAGTCCATTTTTGATAGCTGAAAACACGCCATTTGCATCAGGGGTATGTAGTGCCTCTATACTAGCTATACTGGTTACTGGAGACTTAGTATCTGGGTCTACAAACCGAACAAGGACACACTCTTGATCAACTATGGATGAGTCAGTGCTTGAATCAGACATTACAGTGTAAAACTTTGCTTGCTTCAATTTAGATACCAATGTATCATGAAGTGATTCAGAAATAGACTTCACAAATTCAACACAAGCTTTCCTATTGAGGTGGTCAGAACCAAGATCTAGGCCATTTTTCTTTTGAATGCTGCATATATATTCATAGTCAGAGAAAGGTTTCCGATTTTTTGCCACTCCAAAAGCAGTATGGAATAACATTTTAAATTTGTCAGTTTGTCCTTCATTGTATTTCTGTACGGTCTTCTCTAAATCCCCCTCAAATTTAGTGTTAGTATTTTTAAGTTTCTCTCTGTCAGACTTCAGCTTGCATGATGCATGTTTTGCACTTTTTTCATGAGCATACAGCGTGTCTTTTCTACTTATTATTTGACCAATATAAAGGCCACATTTCTGGTCTGCAAGCATAGGAAATTGCCGGCAAATTTTACAGGTACCTGCGGCTTTATCATCGACTCGAAGCCATGGGAATTCTTTTAACCAAGCGTCTTGAAAAGCACGTTTTCTTTTCAAAGTATCATATTTTTTGTCATAATCTTTCTTACTCTTTTTAGGGGGAGGCTCTTCTACTTTACTAGAAGGCTTAGCATTCGGTGATTTTATAAGAAAACGTTCCATTTCATAAATTTCTAAAATCTCGTCTGCTACAATTTTCACCGGAAACGAAAAAAAGGTATGCTCTAAAATTTTACCAAATTCGCGAGACGATACGAAGATAACGTAAGGACCGCATAAAATTATTGGGCCGACTATTAAACTATTTCCGCTTTCGTGTTCAAAGTCGTAAACATCCGTTTAATTATGTGTGTGTGTTTTTTTTTAAAAGAACTGGATTTTTCTGCAGCATTCCTATTAACCGCCGAAATTTACTTGTCCACGGACAAGTAAACTGCAGAATTTTACTTGCCCGGACCTACAATTGTACGACTCGGGCAACTCGGACAATTGATTTTGCCGGCCCTGCAGTCTGGTAGCGTTATACTATAGGCGGATAAATGAAAAACTCCTCTTATTTCACTTTAAACGGTCTTTATTCCATGTATGTGATACAGTAGGGTGAACGATTCAGTTTACACGCAAAACGCACGTTGCGGAAAAAACGCATGCACGTTACATGCTATACGAACACACGTTACACGCACCCTTTATGAAACGAAATACGCAAACGCGTGCAAAACGAAATACGCTATACGATATACGCACGCTAAAACGCAGGCAAAATAGAAATCGTTTCTAAACGTTAATAAAATATCCTTATCATATAAATTTTTAACAACTTCTAAGCTAGATCGTTTAGTGATCTGATTAACCCTTTCACTGCCATAGGGACGGCTTAAACCGTCCCTGTTATTTTCAGCGTATTTGCCATATGGACGGCTTTAGCCGTTTCTATAAAAATAATAGTTATAATAATAAATTAATAATAATAATAATAAAAATAATAATAAATATAAAGAAAATTATACCATCGACAATAATTATTATTATACTAACAGATTTGGAAACATATATAATTATTATAATACTAATAACAAATAATAATAATTATATTAATTAATAATATAGTAATTTCTTAGAAAATCCTCTGGCAAATAGGTGAACAATAAAACAATAACCCTCTGGCAGGGAAAGGGTTAAATGATAGCTAGCCATTCATGTATTTTAAACGGGTTTATGTTAACTAACTTATCTTATGTCCCCTCATTAGTGAATAGTTCAGAGCTGTAAAAATGAAAAAATCAGTTTTACAGTATCTTTTTTGTGATTCCATATACCATGCCAGTTATGGTCCCCTGACAGGGAAGGGAACACTTCCTTACTGATAGTGGATCTGAACACCTCTGTCTGCATTTTAGGACATTTGCCATATCTTTTTTTTTATTTTTCAATGAAATTTGGTGGATTTTTTCAATATCAATCAAACAGATGTAATTGTTACTCAATATTATAGTGATATGTTGCCTTACTAACTTGGTTTCATTTCCTAGGAGGTTATAATAAGGGAAAATTACCCCAATTTTTAAATATGTAATGTATTTGCTTGAACAAATAGGCATCATAGAAAATTTACCTTATCTCTCGTCATTGTCAATATAATTCAATGGGGTTTTCTTATTTTAGTCAATTAGATGTAGTAGTTACTTGATAGTATAACATTATTTGGCTTTACTTACTTTGTTTCAGTGACCAAAAGGTTATAACAATGTAAACTTACCCAAATTTTCAATGATTTAGTGTGGTAAAGTTATTAATAAGGCATTATAGAAAATTAGCCATTATTTCTTAATTTGCAATGAAATTTGTTGGGATTTTCTTATATAAGTCAAGTTGATGTAGGTTTAACTTAATATAATAATACTATGTTGCTTATATAACTTTGATTCATTTACCATGAGGTTATAATCAGGTAATATTACTCCCATTTTTAATGAATTAGTGTGTTAGCTTGTATAGTTATACATCATAGGAAATAAGCCATAATATTTTGAATATTCAATGTAATTTATTGAGATATTCTTATTTTAATCAATTTTAGATATGCTTGTTAATTAATATAATAGATTTATGTTGCACTTATAATTCTGTTTCATTTCCTAGGCTGATATAATAAGGTAAAAATCCCCATTTTGTAGTGAATTGGTGTTCTATCTTAACACAGTAAGGTATCTTAGGAAATTTGCAATAACTCTTATATTTTGTAATGAAATTTGGTTGGACTTCCTTACTTTAGTCAATTAGATACCTTTGTTAATTAATATGATAGATTAATGTTCCTCTTGTAGCTTTGTTTAATTTCCAAGGCTCTTTTAATTAGGTAAAATTTTCATATTTTGTAGTGATTTAGTGCACTATCTTTGACATTTAGGCATCTTAGGAGATGCC